CGAGAGAACCATGCAGAAATTGAATTAAAAAACCCCGCAACAATCGTGGTGTCGGCAATATGCAACCATACTTGGTCTCTGGAGTCTCCTAGGCGACGGAAGTTACACGTATGAACTGGTTAATTGAAATACATTAAGAGAAATTACTTTCAGTCACACGATAATGTCTTTAATTTTTCACCATGGCAACCAATAATTCCTGCAATAAACAATCATCCTTAAGGAAAGGAAATGAAATGGCGACCGAGTGAAAGTCGGCTTTTAGTTTACATATATAACTGAGTGGGGGTGGGGGTGGGGATCACGGTGGCTAAGTTGGTAAGACGCTGGCTCGCTAGCCAGAAGGTCGGGTGTTCGATCCCTGCATTGGCCGAGAAAGTTCATCCAGATTTTCCGGCGTGGTTCCCCCTCAGCAGTTGATGCAGGACAGAGAGACTGAAAAGTACAACTGTCTAGTCGTTCGAATGGGACGAAAAACCGAGGTCCCGTGTACACATTGGCGTGCACGTAAAAGATCCCTTGACAGTTGGAATTCGATATAAGAGTAGAACGTAGTGCCGCTGCCCGGGCAATATTTCTCTCATAGCACACTGTATGGCGTATGCCCGTCTTCATTAGCCCAGTTCGGAGCAGAACAGTAGGACGTTAAACCCTATTTCATTTCATTTCACTTCCTTAGTGCCGGCACGATATATCGTTGAATCAATGTTTCGCGATTCACTTTCTCACGATTCGCGTATTGAATCGCAAGACACTGAATCGGTGTATCGCGATTCTCTTTTCGTATTTTATTTTTTATTTATTTTGTTTTTTGTCGCTTCTGTAAGTAACCTGTCACTCTTTATTATCCACGTACAGCTAAAAACCAAAACGTGCAAGCGATTTATTGAAATATATTGAACATTTTAAAATCCGTACACGAATCGTGTACCCTATTGTTTCATTGGCAAAAGGAATGGGCAAAGAACAACATATGCAAAATTACAATAGTAATGGCTGATTCACAAATAATAAAATAATAATTAAAAAAACAAAAACCTGAAGAATGGGCTAATTAAGCGTAAATGATTTTCGTTCAGTTTGATCTGTTCGCGTATTTCACCGAACATATCTGATTAAAAATTGCAATTTAAAAAAACAACAACAAAAATTGAATATAAATCACTTTATATGTGCTTTTAGATCCATCCATTGTTCAAAATAGAGCAATACGCCCTTTAAAGTTCCAAAGAATAGAGTCATATGCCCTTTAACGTGACACCTTTAACAAGTAGGTTAATTAAAGGAACTTGTCTGTTTTCTCTGATCTTTTTTTAGCGTTAATTATCGCCAGCCATCACCGGCCATGTTCCACACTGATCAATAAAAATAATTATCTTTTATTACAACATAAAATGGCGATAAACCATCGCATACGACAACATGACCAGGGGTAAAATTATATCAACATTTCATTTTGTATTTCAAGTATCATCTCCAACCGGAGAGAGAGAGAGAGAGAGAGAGAGTGAGTTTCCGCATGGGAGTTTCGTATGTCATTCCGATTGACTATATTCTCATTGGAAACGGTGACAAGGGGTGGGGGGGGGGAGAGAGCGAGAGAGAGAGTTTAACGTCCACTCAACACAAACTATGTGATTTCGGGACTAACATATGGTTCATTTTCATTTCAATAATTCGCTTGTGCGTAGGGGTCTTTAGCGGTGGGGGAAGCCGAAGGACTCGGAGAAAACCCACGAGGTTGTACAGGCGATCTACTCTTTATCACGTGCAACCGAGAATCGCAATCACAATGACAGACCTTATGATCTAACGCGCAGGCGTTTAACTATTCGATATATAAGAGTAGGCCTTAGCGCCGCCGTCCTGACAAAATTTCCCTCATAGCACCCTGTATGACGGATTCCAGCATAACATTGGACGTTAAACCCCATAGCACTCTGTATGACAGATTCCAGCATGACATTGGACGTTAAACCCCATAGCACTCTGGTTATTGTTTCTGTAAATAGTTACACATATCGATTTGAAAGGTTTCGCCATAATACGAAATAAAATGAAATGAAATGTGGTTTAACGTCCTACTGTTCTGCTCCTATACTGGGCTAATGAAGACGGGCATACGCTATACAGTGTGCTATGAGGGAAATTTTGCCCGGGCAGCGGCACTATCGCCTACTCTTATATCGAATTCCAACTGCCAAGGGATCTTTTACGCGCATTCCAATGTATACACGGGACCTCGGTTTTTTGTATCATCCGAAGGACTAGACAGCTGTCCTTGTCAGGCCCTCTGTTCGCCATAATACGCCTTGAGAGAAATAATATAACTCTGTAAGGAACATTCATTTTATTTTAAATGTGACTCAGCTGTTGGCTTTCAGATGTTATCTCTAGTGAAAACAGATTAATAGGAAATAGTGTGATATTAACAATCGTCTTATAAATAATAAATAACAAATTATCGGATTTCCAGATCTGTTTTTGTATGTTTCATTATCTCGAACCATCAGTGAAGCGGATCAATATAAACAACCCAGACGTAATCGGCCAGAGTTCAAGATTATTTCGTGGCGTTGGGTGGCCGAATGGTTAACGTGTGTGCGTTGCATCATTAGGTCTGCCATTGAGTCAAATGGTGTGATTTCGATTCCCTTAAGGTGGCCTTTACGTTTATATCTGACCTGGTACTCATATGCCCGCCTTCATTATAGTCTAGTTGGAGCAAAAATAGTAGAACGCTAAACCCCATCTCAATTCATTTCATGGCAGGATAAACTCGATTCTGTTTCATCTTCTAAATACGACCAATCCCGAGAAGATGTCGTGCTCGACTGTATTACGTTCTAATGTTTTATCGCGTGCAGATAAAGCTGTTTATTGGCCCGGATGTATTCTGGGTATTGGTGAGGGCTGGTAATTAAATCTAAAAGCAGACGAGGGAAAATCATGTAAAAAAACATGACAAGTGTCATTTATTATTTAAAACCTAAAGTCATAAACATAACAAACTTTTACTTATCTATATTCTTACCGCTTTATTCCCCGGTTGTACGTAACAAGAGTTAGGGTCGCCTGTCCAACCTCGTAGGTTTTCTCCGGGCTCTCAGGTTTCCTCCCACTGCTAAAGACCCCTACGCGCAAGCGAATTATTGAAATAAAAATGAACTATGTGTTAGTCCCGAAATGACCTAGTTTGTGTCGAGTCGACGTTTATAAGGTCTGTCATTGAGTCAACTGGCGTGGTTTCGATTCCCTGGTTGTACGTGACAAGGAGTAGGGTCGCCTGTCCAATCTCGTGGACTTTCTCCGGGTCCTCCAGTTTCCTCCCACTGCTAAAGACCCTTACGCTTAAGCAAATTATTGAAAAAATACCTGAACCATGTGTTAGTCTCGAAATGACCTTGTTTGTGTCTAGTGGACGTTAAACCCCATATCTCTCTCTCTCTCTCTCTCTCTCTCTCTCTCTCACACTCTCATTTGTCTGGCCGGTTATGTCGCGTCCGGAATGTTGACAACATGACATTTTGTTGTCTTTAACCAGTGGATAACAGCCGACTATATCAGAACCATGTTAAAACTATCTGCTCCGCCATTTTGTTTACTTTCATGCTCTGGTTAATCTCAACATAACCAAATTGTTATTTACTTAATGACCAACACCTTCTTCTTAAACCAATAATGACAACCGAGACAACACGTACGAGACTACTGTTTACACGTATAGACCTACATAGTTTCGATCAGACAAGTCCCACAACGCAGTAAAAGCGAGAGAGAGAGAAATGGGGTTTAACGTCCACTCGACACAAACTAGGTTATTTCGGGACTAACATATGGTTTAGTTTTATTTCAATAATTCGTTTGCACGTAGGGGTCTTTAGCAGTGGTAGGGAAACCGGAGGACCCGGAGAAAACCCACGAGGTTGGACAGGCGACCCTACTCCTTGTCACGGTGATTCGAAACCACGCCAGTTGACTCAATGACAGGCCTTATGATACAGCACGCACGTGCTAACCATTCGGCCATCCAACCCCCCAGGAGAGAGAGAAAGGTGGGAGAGGGGTATTGGGATTGAGGGGAGAGACATAAGTGGAATAGCCTAGGGACACTCGGCAAATCTCATCAGACCCTAGTACCCGCCATATGAACTACTTTCAAGTTCCCGGATTACAAATGGCGTCGCTCATGACGACGCCTTTGAACAATATTTTATCATACAAAGATGTCAAAGTCTGAAGCTGTTTTTTTTTCAACTTTATCCGATTTTCTTTAAACAGAGAACAAATTTGCAATTAAAATTCTACACACGCTTTGAACGACGCAATTTTGGGAATTTCTTTCCAAAAGCTGCAAGTTTTTCTAATAGTAATAATACAGATCTATATTTCGTTTCGTTTTGTTATACTTTCGATGACCGACACTAAATGAAGATCTGGCCAGTTGTACTGGAAGGTCACGTCAGGGGTCGTGCGAGCGGCTTTTGACCCTATGACTTCAGACATTGATTAATCAATCAGCGTTGACGTTTCTAGTGGTTTACCCACAGTTCCGCGAAGTCGCCGTAACAGATGGTTGCATTGGCTAATCCATCACGCCATCCAGAATGCAAGTTATATAACAACGCTTCCAGATCCCGGTGTAGTACAGGCGAATAAGATGAAATTTTGAACTATAAAAAACGATCTGTGTTTTATTCAGATTGCATCGCAATTGTATAGGTGTAGGTACATATCACTTACCGTCATGCAGCCGAGGCTAGATGTAGAGTAACGGAATCTGTCGAAGTTTGCGGAGTGAGTCTAAGAGTAGGATCACCTATGGCATGGGGTCTCATGGGTTTTCTCCAGGCCCTCCTGTTTCCTACCACTGTCAAAAGAACCCTATGAACAGGCAAATTATTGAAATACAAATTGAACCATATGTTAGTCGAGTGGACGTTACGCTCCATTTCTGTCTCTTTTTAGTGACTCATTTGAAACTCTTTTTTTATTTGTAGACATGTACATCACGAATAAAAGTATTGCCATCAAACCTAGTCTTGATCTACCAGTGAAGATGAGACCAGTGTCTATACCGATATTCATAGAGCGACAGTGGGAGCCGGTTAAAGTGAACATACCTCCACCTCAACCTCTAGATGGCGCTACATATACTTCCTGGAGAGACCGGAAGAAGAAAATAGACGATGCTTTATCCTGGCTACGGACTGAATTAGTAAGTATACTGTTTACTCCTTTTTTGTAATCTTTGGGGATCACGTGACTAAGTGGGTAAGACGCTGGCTCGCTAGCCTGGAGGTCGGGTGTTCGATCCCTGCATTGGCCGAGAAAGTTCATTCAGATTTTCCGGAGGGCCTGACAAGGACAGCTGTCTAGTCGTTCGGATGGGACGAAGAACCGAGGTCCCGTGTACACATTGGCGTGCACGTAAAAGATCCCTTGGCAGATGGAATTCGATATAAGAGTAGGCCGTAGCGCCGCTGCCCGGGCAAAATTTCCCTCATAGCACACTGTATGGCGTATGATCGTCTTCATTAGCCCATTATAGGAGCAGAACAGTAGGACGTTAAACCCCATTTCATTTCATTCCATTGTAATCTTTGGGCGCCGCGGTGGATCAGTGAGTAAGAAGTTGGCTCACGAACCTATAGGTCCTGTGTTCGATCCTTCCCTTGGCCGAGAAAGTTCATTTGGGATTTTCCGGCGTGGTTCTCCCTTGTCAGTGGTGCACAATAGAAGGACTGACAGGTGAGAAGGTATTAGTCGTTCGGATGGGTCGAAAAACCGAGGTCCTAGGCCCGGAGTACACTGAGATTATCGAACTTGTTCCATTTAACCCTTACAGTTTGAATATATAAATAACACAGAACCATTAACAACGACGAAGGTGGAATTCGCAGCTTTTTTTTTTAAATTATAAAAATACAGGAAGTAATATGATTGTCGTACATTTCTAATTTTAAACAACTGGTAAATATCTCTCTCTCTCTCTCTCTCTCTCTCTCTCTCTCTCTCTTTAAAGATATTGCAAATACTGAGTGAATTATTTGGGGAATTACATATGAATAGTTTTATAAGAATTTCTATTGAAAGATGGGAACTGCGGGGGCTCAGTGAGTACACGATGCTGGCTCGCTTGCCAGGAGGTCTTGGAATCACTTCTGGGTTTTGACCGAGAAAGTTCCTTGGGATTTTCCAGCGCGGTTTCATCCTTGTCAGTGATGCATCCTCTCTTTCTCTCTCTCTCTCTGGTAAATGTGTTGTCAACAACCTTATCATTATCTAACGATCATTAACACGATATAATACATATTAGTATCCGTCATTAAAAGAACAAATAATATAATATTATCTAATAAGGAGATAATGATGATAATATATTAATTAATACAGGTGTGATATATGAACTATAGTACGATCATTTGAAGATTTCACACACCTGCCCATATTATACAGTATAGACCAGGAAACGAATATGACAACATCGCCGCCATCTTGGAAGTTTGACGTCATGTCAAACATCGACGCGAAATTATTATCTACGGATCAAGCATGTCAGTATCATGCCTGTCTCAGCCTTAGTCTTTTTTCGAAGAGAGCTCCCCCGAAATATTATAATGTCCGGCATAGCCACCACGTATACCCGACTTCATATACCAAATTAATTGAAATGAATGCAGATTAACAGCCTACTCTTATATCAAATGTCAAATGCCGATGGTTCTTTTACGTGCACGCCAATGTGTACACTGGACTTGTTTTCGTTCCATTCGAACGACTATACATCCGACGAATTTTTCTCGGCCAACCCCGGGTTCGACCACGGGATCACCCGGTTAGCGAGCCAACGTCTTACTCATTGAGCCACCGCGGCTCATTCATATACCAAGCCTGTTATTATAAATTATTAAGGCGCTATATATACCAGTTCAATGAGTTGATGTACACGTATCATTAAACATCATTCAATTTCATTTCGTTTAATAGGGAGCCACGGTGACTAAGTGGGTAAGACGCTGGCTCGCTAGCCAGGAGGTTGGGTGTTCGATCCCTGCATTGGCCGAGAAAGTTCCTCCTGATTTCCCGACGTGGTTTCCCCTTGTCAGTGGTGCAGAACGGAGGGCCTGACAAGGACAGCTGTCTAGTCCTTCGGATGAGACGAAAAACCTAGGTCGCGTGTATACACTAGAATGCACGTAAAAGATCCCTTGGCAGATGGAATTCGATATAAGAGTCGGCGATAGTGCCGCTGCCCGGGCAAAATTTCCCTCATAGCACACTGTATGGCATATGCCCGTCTTCATTAGCCCAGTTTAGGAGCAGAACAGTAGGAGGTTAAACCCCATTTCATTTCATTTCAATGCAGGGGGGGGGGGGGGGGGCGTCATTGAAAAAAATGACGCAGCATACGGTTAGATCTATTTCACATGGAGACCTGGAAATTTCGTCATAGGTCACGAGATGTAAACAGGGCGAACATTAACCCTATCTCTGACCGAATACCTAGCTATAGCCCTAAGCCTTACCCTAACCCACAATCCTTGGCAACAATCACGTGCCCTAACCCTGTTTTACATCTCGTGACCTTGGGAAATCTGCAGGTGTGCATGTGAAATAGTTCTAACCGCACGCGCATACACAACAGTCGATTTAATGACAGGCTTTATGATCTAAACAGAGTGAGATAGGGTGGAATGGGGTTTAACGTCCTTTCGACCAACTAGGTCATTTCGGGACTAACACATGTTTCAATTCAATTTCAATAATTCGCTTGTGCGAAGGGGTCTTTAGCACTGGGAGGAAAACGGAGGACCCGCAGACCTTAGATCACTCAGCCTCCAATTGTTGGGGATGGCCTACTCTGCCGTTTATAGATATTGTTTGTGTGCAATTCGCAAGTGTATTAGCCGGAAGATCTGTACACTTCGCCTTATTTTCAAATACCATTAAAGATATCGATATCAGGACATAAAGAATAGGGACAAGTTTGAGCAGGGAATTAAGATTAGAATCAATGGGGAAATTAATGTTGTGCTGAGACCGAATACAAGCAGCTGTTGTAGTGTACAATTGATTCTAGTACTATTTTGGTTATGATAGGTTTATAGTGTTATTGGGTTCTTCTAGTACATGGGCTTTAATCTGAAGCTGGTAGTAAAACTAGTTTACAGTATATTTACTACCGGTGGAGTTGGATGGACGAATGCTTACAGCTTGCGCGTTGTATCATAAGGCCTGACATTGAATCAGCTGGCGTGACAAGGAGTAGGGTCGCCTGTCCAACCTCGTGGGTTTTCTCCGGGTCCTGCGATTTCCTCCCACTGCTAAAGACCCCTACCTGCAAGCGAATTATTAAAATTAAATTAAAACATGTTAGTCCCGAAATGACTTAGTTTGTGTCAAGTGGACGTTAAAGCCTCCCTCTCTCTCTCTCTCTCTCTCTCCCTCTCTTCTAGTACACCCCTAGCGAGTTAAGTCTAGAATGTGTTATATTTTATCAGCTGTTGAGTTGAGCTGTATTGATTTATCGATTAATGAATAATGATCGGGTAGAAATAGATTAACTACATTCCAGACATACTTTTCTACTTTACACCCGATTTCAACAAATGTCAAATGTATCTAAGACCTGGTTTCCTTTTCCTTCCTGCTAGTCAGACTATTGAAATTATCTCTCAGAAATGAAGTGAATGTATGTCTTACTCCATTATTTTCAAATTAATCTTCTTTAGATTATTAAAAGAAGCAAGGAAATCGGATGATTTAATTTTGATATTAAACGAAAATGAAATGAAATGGGGGTTTAACGTCCTACTGTTCTGCTCCTATACTGGGCTAATGAAGACGGGCATACGCCATACAGCAGTGTCCTATGAGGGAAATTTTCGGACAGCGGCACTACGGCCTACTCTTATATCGAATTCCAACTGTCAAGGGATCTTTTACGTGCACGCCAATGTGAACACCGGACCTCGGGTTTATCATCCCATCCGAACGACTAGACAGCTGTCCTTGTCAGGCCCTCCGTCCTGCATCACCTCCCCCACCCCATTGAAATAGACTTATGTAATATATAAAAATCGTGTACAAGTCACTTTTGATTTCAAATATATCAACATCCGGGGCTTTTGTTAATATATCTTTTACTACCAACATACACCAGTTCGTGATCCTTGTTACGGGTGCATTGCACTAGGCAGGGAATATTTACTTTCTAGGACACCATTTTCTATTTACACCTGTCGTAAATATGTTAATACATTCGCCCGTGGAAGCTTAAAATGCATGGTGAATTGATGGCACAGTACTCTGTACATAAGCTGTAATAGTTAATATATCTTTTACTACCAACATACACCAGCTCGTGATCCTTGTTACGGGTGCATTGCACTAGGCAGGGAATATTTACTTTCTAGGACACCATTTTCTGTTTACACCTGTCGTAAATATGTTAATACATTCGCCTGTGGAAGCTTAAAATGCATGGTGAATTGATGGCACAGTACTCTGTACATATACTGTAATGGTTGCCAGGCAATGTTGGCACCAACTTTATACCGTGATTAATAGTACTAGTTACAGGTGGTTTGAAGAATTCTGGGTTTGGCACCGACGTAGTTATTCCTGGCATTATAGCTTCCATTGTGTTTAAACATTACATACCGGTAGTAATATAAATCGTTAACTCAAACTACCCTGGTTGATACACACCGGTAGTAATATACATCGTTAACTTAAATTACTCCGGTTGTTACATACCGTAACAAACATCGTTAACTCAAATTACTCTTATATTTAAAGAAACAATACGCAGAATAAAATAATACAGACTTTTTTTTATCTGTGGGGTTTAACGTCCATTCGACACAAACTAGGTCATTTTGGGACTAACATAGGGAGAGAGAGAGACCCCTACGTGCTAGCAGATTATTGATATAAAATTGAACCATATGTTAGACCCGAAATAAATGTGTCGAGTTGACGTTAAACCTCATTTCTCTCTTTCAATTTATTTATATTTTTATTCATTTATTTTAGTCGAATCTTAAGATACAAGATCAACAAATATTAGGTCAGTTAAGACGATGCCAGGATACGATAGAAAACCTGAAACTACAGAAAAACACGTGGCATGATGGCGACATGTCAGAAGATGACCTTGAGGAAGATGAAGGTCACTGGGAGGACTGGGAAATATCAGGTGAGATGATAGAACATGCTACATTTTCTTAAACTCGAATTGATTGGATTTTAAAGATGCATTATCTAAAGGGGACTTGGCCAAAGATACTGGATAATCAACCGCATAAAAAACCAAACTCCCAGTTACGCATGGGCAATGGACTTTTCCTTAAATATTGACAACAATCCCAGACCCTCCGTACGTTGAAGACTAGGAGGTTCTGGATGGAGACCTGTAATAGGCAGATTTAGCTCTTGCATAGTGTATGTTTAAGTGCTAAATATGCCTATTGCAGATCTTGCTTTTGGCCTAAAATGGTATATGATATGAAATGAAATGAAATGGGGTTTAACGTCCTACTGTTCTGCTCCAACAGGACTAATGAAGACGGCAAATATTATATAAATATTTAATTAGACATGTATTCACATAACAAGCCATTAATCAACTCTCTAGGCAATCGGCCGGTCGCGATTTTTAATGGATTGTTACACGAGCGCCATTTAATTTAATAATTGATAATCGATACTTTGTTTATTATCGTAACAATGGCAGTAATGGAAGTGACCGCCATATCCAAAAATTAGTACATTATTTTACAATAGCGTACGCTCTAGATCATAAGGTCTATCATTGAGTCACGTTACGTGGTTTCGATTCCCAAATTGTACGTAAGGGTCGCCTGTCCAACCTCGTGCGTTTTGTCCGGTTCTTCCGGTTTCCTCCGATGCTACGCGCAAGCGAATTATTGAAATAAAATTGAAGTATATGTTAGTCCTGAAATGACCCAGTTGTGTCGAGTGGACGTTAGACCCCAGTTCGCTCTCTCTTTTAAAGTATTTGCATTTTTTGTTATTTCAGAGTTCGACAGAGCATTCGACAAGAGTATCAACGAGTGTAAAGACTTAGAAAAACAGTGTTTAGATTTAGAGACAGATTTTGAAACTCGTCGAAAAACTCCTTCCGTTTCCTCCTCATTATCCTCACCAAATTCCGACAAACATTCGAAATATTTCCACAAATATTCCGAGTCGGAGTCAAGTTCCGGTTCTTCGTCATATATCAGACAGGATATTGAGGTAACGGTGTGATGACGTCATAGGGAAACCCCCTATTGGCTAAGTGTGTTACTAAAAATAACCAAACCCACGGAATGCATTTAGGAGCATGAATAGGTTTTAAGTGATTGATTGCTTTTTTGTTGGCATGTGATGAAATACATTTGTTGTGATCCAGGAATCAACCTAGGTATGCTGATCGGTGCTTGTGTATAGTCTGTTCTGTCTGTTTTTAAGATGACCAACGTTCCTGGATTATCTATGAATAATATGACGTGACTATCCACGACGCATACACAACCAAAATTAAAATTTCACCGTCATCGACATCGTAAATTGTATTCGGGTTCAACACAGAATAAGCATGTACTGCATCATGTACGACAGCTATAGATAGTCTGGCTAACTGTGATAAAAATATTATTTAGTGCTACCCGGGATAAAAGACCCACAAACTATCACCCAGACTGTAACGACAAGCGTACTAATAAATAAAACGCTAAAATATGTGTTTTAATTCATGCATGGATTACTGTATGTGACTCTTGAAATGTGACATTCTCCCATGCAAGGGAAGGCAACTCTGCTCGGGAGAAATGTGACTTTCTCCCATGAAAGTCTCGCTACAGGGAAGGCACCTCTGTCTGCTTGGGAGAATGGAAATGTGGCATTCTCCCGTGCAAGTCTCGCTATCCAGCTAGTGTAAGGAAAGACCACTCTGCTTGAAAGAATGGAAATGTGAATGTGTGTTTTAACAAGTCATTTTGATTGACCCTGGCTTTTGTTGTGATCTAGTGCTCCACATTGACATTGTCTAAAACAGACAAGTTTTATAGTATTTACGTCGTATTAAAAGTAGCGTCGACACCGAGTAAACGCTACACCAACATAGTGTTGTGATCAAGGTGGCGGCTAAGATAACGTTACAACAGAAACAAAATTTATATTAAAGAGACCGGTGTTACGTTACAGACAACTTCTGAGTTTAAGAAAGTTCTATGGTAACGTCGTATTAAAAGGAAACGCTACAGCAACAGAATGTTGTATTCAAGATGGCGGTTTAGATAACGTTACGAGAGAAACAAACTTTATATTAAAGAGACCGGTATCACGTTACAGACAACTTCTGAGACTAAGAAAATTCTATTTTAATAACGTATAAATGGTAACGTTACAACCGAGTAAACGTTGCATCAACAAAATGTTGTGATCAACGTAACATTGAAATCAAGATGGCGGTTAAGATAACGTTACAGCAGAAAAAAAACTTGACATTGAACAGATCGGTGGGACGTTGCCGACAATGTCTGCGGTAACATTGTGGTTAAAATGGTGATAATTAAAGATAACGTTACAGCAAAAAAAAAGAGCTTTACATTGAAAATAGCCACCGGATATATTCACTTAATCTGATATGTACTTTTGTTTGTGATTTCCGCGTAGTATGTCTTATCCGTAGATTTGTTTTGTGTAATTGTGCTTGTTGTAGCCCCCCCCCCCCCTGTGTAGTTAGGCCTACTATTAGATAATATCGTGATCGAGAAGTCGTTATTAACATGAAAGATAACGTCAAAACATAATATTATAACTTTATAACGAAGAATGTTGTTGATAAACTGTAAGGTATAACTGTGCGACATCTTTTCTTGACTTGACCTGTATTGTTTTTTTCCGAGATAAAATCATCAGAACAATCACAATATGTTGACATATTACCAATTTAATATTGCGGTATCTATCGCGCTATTGACCCCTATATGCTTCCATACTTTCCAGATTAAGCCCCTCATACTTTATAACGACAATAACATTCCTATGACTCACCGAATAATAACAAGAAGAAATTCCAATCACGTATTCGGAATATAAAAATGATTTTAATTGCATTATTTATTGGGAAAACCCAAACTTATAATGAATGGCCCTAATTATAGTAGTCTCTATCATCCAGAAAAATAGTCTACGTTGAAGACTAGGAGGTTCTGGGTGACCGAGACTATAATTCATTGTACTACTGGTTATATCCGTAAGCATATAAACGCAGAGAGAGGGAGAGAGAGAGAGAGAGAGAGAGAGTTTAACGTCCACTCGACACAAACAAGGTCATTTCGGCACTAACATATGGTAGTGTTCTTTAGCAGTGGGAGGAAACCGGAGGACCTTCAGAAAACCCACGAGGTTGGACAGGCGACCCTACTCCTTGTCACGTACAACCAGGATTCGAAACCACGCCAGTTGACTCAATGACAGGCCTTACGATACAGCGCGCACGTGCTAACCATTCGGCCATCCACCCCCATAAACGCATAGAATAATAATGACGAAAGTTTGCATGTTTAAGTATGTGATTATGTAACAAAGAAGACATTGCATTGATTTTATTCATTAATAAATGAAAACTAAATATGTCACCGTGTTATAAAAATCAAGCCATTAAAATTCATATGTATATTCATTGTGCTGAAGAGTCCGACGTGTTACTAAAAATAGATGACGATTTATTTTAAAGCATGATTTAAACATGTTAATGCATGTTATTTATATTTTTCTGTGAGCTATTAATATAAATATCTTAGTGATGACGTCATTTATGACCCTCGTTTAAAGAATGACAGTAATCTCTTGTTATAACGTTAATAGATTAATTGGTCTATAACGAAGAACTTGTGTTAAATAAAAGTTAAATACGGAAATTCCAGTGCCCGATTTAGATGAAGAGTGGCGCTAGTCTATTTTATCAAGCGCGGATCCAGAGCCCAGGATAGGGGGCGGGAGCACGGATGGTGACGCTAGAAGCCCGGAAAGCCATTTCCAGTGATCTGAAACAAGAATCCAGTTAAAAAATAATGAATTATAATGGACCGTTTTCAGCCAGAAATCCCGATAGCGGTCTCGGGGGAGAAGGGGGGGGGGGGTCGGGTTCGTGCGCAGGGTGCGCCTCCACTAGATCCAGCCTTGTTTACAATGAGGGATCACGTGGCTAAGTGGGTAAGACGCTGGCTCGCTAGCCTGGAGGTCGGGTGTTCGATCCCTGCATTGGCCGAGAAAGTTCATCCAGATTTTCCGGCGTGGTTTCCCCTTGTCAGTGATGCAGAACGGAGGGCCTGACAAGGACAGCTGTCTAGTCGTTCGGATGGGACGAAAAACCGAGGTCCCGTGTACACATTGGCATGCACGTAAAAGATCCCTTGGCAGTTGGAATTCGATATAAGAGTAGGTCGTAGCGCCGCTGCCCGGGCAAAATTTCCCTCATAGCACACTGTATGGCGTATGCCCGTCTTCATTAGCCCAGTTTAGGAGTAGAACAATAGGACGTTAAACCCCATTTCATTTCATTTCATATACATGTATGCGTCTGAACGAGCAGAATTATTTCATTATGTAAAGTTTGTTGATAATCTCCCAAACCTCACGCCAAACATTGTCTCCATGTTGAACCTCCAGCTGCTCAAATTCCCGAACATGCCCCTGTCGGTATTCTTGAAGCAATGGCCCGGGAGGAATTCCTCTCTGGCCATTGCTAGATTGGCTTCTGATACTTGAGCTTTTGAGGGAGTGTGCTTATTCTTTCCGTCCAATCAAACCTCTCCCAAGTACAGCAACATGACAGCCCTTCGTTTAATCTGGAATCTCCCCTAAAACTTTGGACAGTGATTTAAGGTATTAAAAACGGTGAAAGTATTCTTCGCCTCCAAACAATATTGTTTACAGTGTAACCGTTTTCAATAGCCTCGTTTGTCACGCTATTAGTTTTTCTGCAATATTCTGCTATGCACTGGTTAAATGGGCGTAATAAATTTCGTGAGTCATGACGTAACGTTATGTTAACAATTTATTTTGGAGCTTTGTTTACACTCGAATGAAATTGTTAGGTATTGGATGTTAATCGGACTATTGACCAGTCATAAATTGGAACAGAAATGTGCTTTCATTACGGCAATGTTAAGTGGGATTAGGCCTAATCAAACGAAACACCGCGAGGCGTATGGACCGCCATACCATCGGAAGTTTACATCCATTAATCCTACGTTTCTTTATTGTTGGGGGGTTGGATGGCTGAAAGGTTAGCGTGTGCGCGTTGTATCATAAGGTCTGTCATTGAGTCAACTGGCGTGGTTTCGATTCCTCGGTTGTACGTGACAAGGAGTAGGGTCGCCTGTCCAACCTCGTGGGTTTTCTCCGGGTCATCCGGTTTCCTCCCACTTTTAAAGATCCCTACGCGCAAGCGAATTATTGAAATAAAATTAAACCAAACGTTAATCCCGAAATGACCTGGTTTGTGTCGAGTGGACGTTAAACCCCATTTCTCTCTCTCTCTTCGTTATTGTTATATTCTTGTTATATAATAAAACAAAACAATACAATATAGTTTTATTATTATAGTCTTATCAATTCTGTCGCCTTCCACGCGAAACTGGGCCTACTATAGTCAATAATTGAAGCCATGGTATAATGGACGCGTTATCTGTTGACCTCCTAGATGTATTTGTTTCCTGTTTACGGATAAATCGAGACAATCAGAATTCTTTATACCGGCCAATTAAAATGCTCGTATCACACATCTTTAAACCAACCAATTAAATTGCTCGTATCACACATCTTTAAACCAGCCAATTAAAATGCTCGTATCACACCGGATTCAATGCTTTGGTTCAAAATAAAGATGACGACGAGAGAGAGAGATGTTTAACGTCCACTCGACATAAACTATGTAATATCGGGACTAACATATGGTCCACTTTTATTTCAATAAATTGCTTGCGCGTAGGGGTCTTTAGCGGTGGCAGGAAACCAGAATACCCTGAGAAAACCCACGAGGTTGGACAGGTAACTCCACTCCTTGTCACGTTCAAGCAGAAAATCGAAACCACACCAACTGACTCAACGACAGATCTTGTGATTTCACGCGCATACGTTAAACGATTAGACCACCTCCACCCCCAAAATGTCGACGGACAATTTCATTGATCTAATATGTGGCTGACCCAATAGAAATGAAATGAACTACATCAGGGCGGACTGAGCCTCGGACCACCTAAGGTGATATCGTAAACAAAGAACTACCCAGTTCGCCTCTGGCTATATAATACCAGTATTGCTTAATTGTGGCTGTCACGTTATTTTGGTAAGGTAGCTCCCTAGCAGGGTCGTAACTAGCTCAGAGCAACGAGGGGGGCGGGAAGTGTTCTCGGGGGTGCTGTAAAATTAACGGACGTTTTTATGGTCGACAATTTTTTCACCCCCCTAGTTACGGCCTGCACCCTAACCTACATCACTCAATAGCCTTTTGGTTGTGTTGGTGCAAATCTGGTTGCTTGGTTACCGTTCAACATGGCGACCCCCACCCCTCAATTCTGCCATATTGTAGTCCCGATTAACAAATGTGGAACATATTACATAACAGAACACATGGACCAGTTCACTCGGCGGAACTCCTTTAGTGTATAATATGGAACCATTACTGACCAAGGTACTGTAGACACCATGGAAACACCCGAAATATCCTCTAGTGCCGAAACTCCTGTATGTCACCCAACCGTCCTTAACGTTAACACGTGTGTGTGCCCCCCCCCTCTCTCTCTCTCTCTCTGTTAGAGCAGAACAGGATGTTCAACCCCATTTCATTTCGATTTCATCTTGGGAATAGAAGCCTCATTGTCGGCAGGTAAAGCATCCCCACTCTGACCAGAACGGTAGAAAGTTAACCCTCTCCTTTCCAACATGAAATGAAATGAAATGAAATGGGGTTTAACGTCCTACTGTTCAGCTCCTAAACTGGGGTAATGAAGACGGGCATACGCCATACAGTGTGCTATGAGGGAAATTTTGCCCGGGCAGCGGCACTATCGCCTACTCTTATATCGAATTCCAACTGCCAAGGGATCTTTTACTTGCATTCCAATGTATACACGGGACCTCGGTTTTTCGTCTCATCCGAAGGACTACCTTTCCAACATAAAACAATGTGGAAATAATGATTCTATATTAATTGATTATCTGTCTGAATACAATAAATATTCTCTGGACTTGCAAGTAAAGACAAAGCTCAGATTAACGGGATCGAGGCCCGGGGCCGGACTAGAATCACTGGACCCCTAACGCGACGAAAACGTTATTTCATATCCTTTTGAATGGCACAATTACAGAGAAGGTTGGGGGGTGGCAGACTCACCCAGTATCTGCCCATTACGCCGCTAGAAGCCTAGACCGATCACCGACTGGAACTTCACAGAGAAGGTTAAGAGATAGCTCAGTCTCAGCCCTCGCGCCGCTAGATCGATTACCGTGAAACTTTCATCTGGAATTTGATTTTTTTCTCTTTTTGCCATGCCCCCCCCCCCCTAAACCTAAGCTGGGCTTTGGGTAAAGATCCACCAGAGAAAAACATTTAACTGTTATGTACGTCAATGCTTTATTTTTCATTTCAGGACGCCGACAGACTCCGCCCATTTCCGGACAGTGGTAGACTCCGCCCATTTCAGGAAAGTGATAGACTCCGCCCATTTCAGGAAAGCGATAGACTCCGCCCATTTCAGGAAAGTGATAGACTCCGCCCATTTCAAAGGTTTCATCGTGAAAACTTTCTGCCGAACATCTTTACGTCAAGCCTTATGACAACCCTACGGGACTTCACCTAACTACAGAAGTTTGAACTGTGTGATTTAGTCTTGGTATTATAGGGTGTGTCATATTCTTAATGAATTAAGAAACATGTATATTAGCGCGTGGCTTGCTAAATAATATTGCATTTCCTTGTGCCGAGCTTGCTTATGCTTATTCATAACAATAGTGGATGTTTTTCTTATCTTTTGATAATTCGAATTTTTGGGGATAGATGCCAACTTCGAAATTATATAAACCAGATCTTCGAGACTAAAAAGTTCGCGATAGTGATGATTCCCGATCGTCGAGATTAGGGAGTTAACAATAGTGATATTTCCAGATCTTCGAGACAATAGTGATATTTCCAGATCTTCGAGACTAAGGAGTTCGCAATACTATTGCCAGATCTTTGAGACTAGGAGTTCGGAATAGTGATATATCCAGATCTTCGAGACTAGGAGTTCGGGATAGTGATATATCCAGATCTTTGAGACTAGAAGTTCGGGATAGTGACACATCCAGACCTTCGAGACTAAGGGGTTCGGGATAGTGATATTTAATTGTAAATTCGCGTCACGCTTTAGACAACGTGTAAATTGAGTATGTTTCGTGTGTTAGTAATTGATATAGCGTGTGTGTGTAGTCGATATTAATACGTCAACATATTGTGATCGTGGAGATGATTTTATCACTGAAACTCAAATGTGCACATGTAAAATGAAATAAATGAAATGAAATTCGGTTTAACGTCCAACTGTTCTGCTCCGACTAGGCTAATGAAGACAGGCATACGCCATACAGTGTGCTATAAGGGAAATTGTGCCCAAACAGCGGCGCTACGCCCTACTCTTATATCGAATTTCAAGGTTTCCATGACTAAACATGCTCAAACCGCAGAGAAATGTAATGACAGTCTACGACAAAGTGCAATGATTTAATTAACTCGGCAAAAATCGTCCTTTCAGAGGTAAAATCACTCCATCATCATGTTGACATATTGCCTTATTAAAATATTTTGTTATTGACTTTTATACGCTTCCATACATATGTGTAGTTATATGCGCTGTACCATAAAGTCTGTCATTGAGTCAACTGGTGTGGTTTCGATTCCCCGGTTGTACGTGACAAGGAGTAGGGTCGTCTGTCCAACCTCGTGGGTTTTCTCTGGGTCCTCCGGTTTCCTCCCTCCGACTGCTAAAAACCCCTACACGCAAGCGGATTATTGAAATAAAATTAAACCATAATATGTTATTCCCGAAATGACCTATGTTTGTGTCGAGTGGACGTTAAACCCCATCTCTCTCTCTATCTCTCTCTCTCTCTCTCTCTCTCTCTGTTTGTAATTATTTATGGAGTGTTCCTGTTTATTATTATATTGTTGATTAAAGGATGACTGTCACGTGTTTGTGGAATGAAAATGGTTTTTTGTTGACAATAAAACGAGTAATTGCCATTAAAGGGCAATATTGGTGCCAGTCATTATCACATATGTGATAGAACTGGTTAAACACGTTCCAAATATAATTTTAACACAGAGATCATTGCTACGATAGATACATAATGAAGGTTTCAACAATCGGAAGTGACGAACGCAAAAGGAAAACACGAGATATCCCTCTGTATAAATGACTGAAGTGACGAGCGATAACAGATACATGGGCGAATTTCTGCTCACTAATAATTCTTTCGAAGACCAAAAGTTGTTGCGTGAGACTGATTATATTTGGAACGTGTTTAACCAGTTCTATCACATATGTGATAACAACTGACACCAATATTGTCCTTTAATAAATTAATGTAATGCTTGTTGTGAATATTGCTATTGGATTAATCCCTAAAATATCAAATGTCCACATCAACTTAAGACAGAAGCATAGATATACACAAGTTTATTACAAAGGCAATGGCGACGCCCAGACGAAAATTCAAATTATGAGTCCTGTAAGTGAAAATTAAGTGTGATTTAGGCCCATAGCTCGGGGGGGGGGGGCAGCTACCTTTGCCGATTGGTCAAAAACATTATTATAGGTACGCTAGAGTCGTTTTCCTTCCTTCAAATTTTTATAATGTTCATATCAAAATATCATAATACGCCTATATCGCAAATACATCCTCCAAATTGAAATTTTCCATCATTTCCATAGTTCCTCTCCTCAGGTGAAAACCCTATTTTCTCAAATTTAATGGCGGGGGGAGGGGGGAGCACCCGTTCGCCGTGGACCGTCAAATGTAGGTACACCGGCGCCCCCAGAAGACCTTGCCACCCACCCCCAGAACATTTTGAGGATAGCTGCGGGCCTGAGTGTGATTCAATAAAGTATTTATAGATAGCCATAATGGCAAGTACAGGCTAGTGGGTAAGGGGGTGCACATTGGGTAATAAGGCCATGACTGAGTGGCAGGGTCGACTGCCTAGCCATGTGGATTTTCTCCGCCCCCCCCCTCCTACTCCCTCTGATTCTTTCACTGATTTTTAGAAATTGGATTTTGCTTGAAATGTAATTGATCACCAAGTAACCACGTCACTCTATAAACAACTCACAACATATAAGTGTTTTGGACATCGCTTCAGGAATAAAAGAAATGAAATGGGGTATCAACAAAAATGGCAATGCAAAAGGGAGAAAAAGGTGGGGGGGGGGGCACACTTAGCTCCGCATGAGAACTGACACTAAACTAAGCTAGTTAAATCCTAAATCGACGATTTTAGTCAAAGCCACTAAGTATACTTCGAGAATTTTATTAAGTATTTAATCTGCTTCCATTTAATAAAATTGTGAAAGTTAATTTAGTCTTTGCGTGTATGACAGATGTGAAACGGAAGTGACGAACGCAAAAGGAAAACACGAGATATCCCTCTGTATAACTGACTGAAGTGACGAGCGATAACAGATACATGGGCGAATTTCTGCTCACTAATAATTCTTTCGAAGACCAAAAGTAGAACTGCATTACAAAACAGTATATTCATTTATGAATATGGCGGCCTTTTACGGCAGAGATCTATTCTCGAAGTATGAAGTAGATGGTTCTCTGCGTGCAGAATGGGGAGTGAACTGTTATAATAATATGCAGACGAATTACAAATCGTGTGTACAGATATAACGGAAATTAATTGTGGTCTGCATCCTATTTCTAAGTATAAACGAGTTGCCTCCCTCTAAGTGCGTTCTTTCAATACGGAAGCGTTGGTTATTTTGTATTTAAAGGTTTTCAAATGATGTGGTAATTATTTTTTTTTTTACATGAGAGTGAGTGAGAGGGGGGGGGGGGGGTAACGTCCACTCGACACAAACTAGGTCATTTCGGGACTAACATATTATGGTTTAATTTTATTTCAATAATTCGCTTGCGCGTAGGGGTCTTTAGCAGTGGGAGGAAACCGGAGGACCCGGAGAAAACCCTCAAGGCTGGACAAGCGACCCAACTCCTTGTCACGTACAACCGGGGAATCGAAACCACATGGAATATGTTTGTAGTCAATGTCACAGAAGGTTCCGTTTTATCTCAACAAGTACAGTTAGGGTAGACAGACAGTTCTAAACTATGGCCAGTATGGGCATTGACCCTGGTCAAGTATTTTCTCCAAAGCAATTGAAAAATAAAATACTCATCACATATTAAATTGAACTTCAGAGTTGACTGAAAAATAAAAATGAATTTGATAAGATCTGGATTTATATCCACTTACAAGGAATAAAAATGTAAAAGGTTGATGAATTAAATATACAATATGCTAAAATTAACACACTTATATGGATATACTACTTCTAAATTTTATTAACATGCTACGTTTCAATACACATACAGGTTAAGTGTGTTAATTATAGTATAATCTATTTCTATATGTCTTATAATGATTATACATTTAAAGGGACAATAACACTCTTGCTGGCTTGACAGCCCCAGAAAATAAAAAATAGCCTTATTCTAAGTACTAGATGTGTTTGTGTCCTACATGTTGTGTAAATTATCCATTATATCCTATTTTACTTGTCCAGAGGGTTCAAAAATATTTTTATATCCAAGTCACATTTGAAAAGCTTTACTTTAGGCTTTTCAAATCATTTAGTTGAATTTTTCCAATTTTTTAAATTAGGTGTGTTAAGATGAAATTTGTAGCATCAATTAATTGGAATACTGTAAAATAGTACAATTTGTTGACCAGAATAAAGATTGGGACATATTATTCAGTTACAACAAGAGTGGTATTGAGCCCATGTGATAAGACGGGCCTGGTACTGCTTAGGATTTAGTTCAACCATGCCAGTTGACTCAATGACAGACTTTATGATCTAATTCGCCCCCCCCCCTCCCCAACCCCTTGTTACTGGGGCAATTTTATGGACCTGACTTTCAGAATTAGAAGCTACCCTTGAAGATAAAGGACACTAGTCTTATTGTATCCAGTACAACGAAATGAAATGGGGTTTAACGTCCTACTGTTCTGCTCCTATACTGGGCTAATGAAGACGGGCATTTGCCATACAGTGTGCTATGAGGGAAATTTTGCCCGGGCAGCGGCACTATCGCCTAATCTTATATCGAATTCCAACTGCCAAGGGACACCGGACCTCGGTTTTTCGTCTCATCAGAAGGACTAGACAGCTGTCCTTGTCAGGCCCTCCGTCCTGCATCACTGACAAGGGGGAACCACACCGGAAAATCTGGCAAATACAACTAAGAAACAAAAGTTTATTATAGCTATGTGAACTCCTCAAATTAGAAACGTGTGATATCTGGTGTTCCAGAAAGAGTAAGCATTTTCTTTGGATGGGAAGTGGTATGAAATGTTCTAGAATGCGTGTACATACCCTGCCTCATAGGTCCAAGACAAAACACCACAGAACATCCAACATTTGTCATTTTCAACTTTTATTTATGAATCATCAAATAACAATTAGAGACTGTAAGAAAATGTTTCCGTTCATGATTTAATGATAACCAAAATTTTTTTTTTTTATTTTTATCTGGGGTGTTGTTTCACACACCCACCCAGTTCCGCAGGTTATGCGTGTGCACAGGTATGTTGAAATGTCGGCAGGGTCAAAAAAAAGAACAAGAATTAATGATCACATGTGGCAAGACTACTCATGGGGATATACCAAAAAATGATTGAATGAAAATTTTCTATAGACCCCTTTTGTGGACGAGCCCCAAATTCGTGAAAAAATAAACTAAATAAAAAGGATACGCATATTCCGTATGAACAATTCTAATTATTCACTGAATTTACCTTAAAACATCCATCTTGCAGTGCGTGGTAATATACTGTTCTAGACATCGATAAAGTGCAAGATGGATGTTTTAAGGTAAATTCAGTGAATAATTAGAATTGTTCATACGGAATATGCGTATCCTTTTTATTAAGTTTATTTTTTCACGAATTTGGGGCTCGTCCACAAAAGGGGTCTATAGAAAATTTTCATTCAATCGTTTTTTGGTATATCCCCATGAGTAGTCTTGCCACATGTGATCATTAATTCTTGTTCTTTTTTTTGACCCTGCCGACATTTTGGGACAGTCCCTTATTATACATATAACATATTTAAAATATACTTTTCAACAATAACAATGAGTATATAAACATACATAAATCACGTATAATGATAATAAATAACTAAGGAATTAAGCAATCCTTGATTCTGAATCAACAATGCTGTAACTTAAAACAAGAAGACTTGATCATCAACAACATGTACAATCTGATTAAAATACAGATCTATATTTCGTTTCGTTTTTTTATACTTTCGATGGCCTACATGAAAATCTGACAAGTTATAGCGATAGGTCATGTAAGAGGTCATACGAGCAGCATTGATGTTTCTAATGGATTACCCACAGTGCCGTCCATAACATGCCTAAAGCTCCCCGTAACAGACTGTTTCATTGGCTAATTCCTCATACCATTCAGAACACATCAATGATAACAACTCTTCCAGATCCTAGTGTAGTAAAGACAAGTAAAACAAAATTTTGAACTATAAAAAAACGAAACGAAATAGGATCTGTGTTTAAATCAGATTGCGACAGGTACAACTACTATAATATGAACTTCAAAACGATATGATAAAATATGCTTCAGAAAAAAAAGTCCATCTCAATATTAATCCCTAACCTTTGCACAAACTTTCATAACATATTTTGAACAGTTTATTATATATATACTGCAGAAACAACAATATAACAAGCATTGCTATTTCTGACATTTATTTGACATCAATGGAAAACCTAAGTTTTAATACTAAAGAGCTAATGACACACTGATCAGCAGTGAATATTCGTTAGGCCGCGACAATCACTGATGTAAGATTTAGATAAAGAACTAACCATTCTTGCTATAATAGTTCAAAAATAGATAATGTAAAATGAATAATTTGAAAATTTCATTCAAATTACTCTATTGCTAGCGAAGATATTAGCCTTTGAAGGTTTGAAAAGACGGGTGTAATAATTTTCAATAACGGTACCGCTTCTCCATTTTTAAATTAAATCAAAATATGGCTGAACGATTCTAATCAATTTAATATCAGATAAACCCGATGTCATCGAGAGTTGATTATGGCCTGAATCAGTTAATTAATGTCTAACTGATAAATTAGATAACATTTCAGGCCTAAAGAAAGACCTGCAATAGGCAGATTTAGTTCTTGCATAATGTATGTTTAAGTCACATCCAAAGATAAAATTATCATATGGCAATGCGTCGGTGAAGTGTCAAAAGGGTGTATCTCGGGAAATTAATCAAATACACTTTTTTGCATTTCTAAAATCTCCCAATTAATATGCACATTTTTGTCTAAGCTGTGTATCTCTATGCCAATTAGAACTGTTCTGGGTATCATGTGTCCAAATGTTGTATCTTGATTTGTGGAAATTTTGAAATGCAAAAGGTTCTATTTCTTAATCTTTAGAAATTCTTAGATACACCCTTTTGACACTTCACCAACGAATGACTGCCGAAGTGCAAGTAATTTATAAAACTGGTTTTAGAGAATTATCTAATTTTGTTTCTAATTCGTTATAATTCTCTTTTAGTTGCTGCACTTGTGTTTCGTAGTCTTGATCAACTCGACTACTTCTCGCAACTTGTCCAGACATAAATTCTGTCCATTCTTCTTTCCGTCTAGCTCTCTGTTCCTCCAGGTACGGTCTCTGAAATTAGAAAAAAAAAGAAATCTTCCAGTAATTGGCCGCAGTAGGCTACACTATTAATTTGCCCAATGACAAGAAAGAAAAGAAATGGTGTTTAACGTCCCACTTTTCTGCACCGACTTGGATAATAATACAGACATGTGAAGTGTACTATTAGAGAAATTTTGCCTGGCCTGTCAAGGGCTGCTTTACGTGCATGCCAATGTGTACACAGGTCCTCAGTTTTTCGTCCCATCCGAACGACTATACGTTGTCACTTGCCAGCCCTCCCTCCTGCACCACTGATAAGGAGGAAACCATGCTGGAAGATCCCAAAGAACTTTCTCGGCCAAAAACTGGAAGTGATCAGTCCTCATGGTTACTCACTGAACCACCGCGTCTCGCATCTTTCAATAGAAATTTTTATAAAACTATTCATGTTATTCACCAAATAATTCATTCAGTATTTGCAATAACGTCCAATTGACATAAGCCAGGTCATTTCGGGGACTAACATATGGTTCAATTTTATTTCAACAATTCGCTTGCACGTAGTGTTCTTTAGCAGTGGGAGTAAACCGCAGAACCCAGAGAAAACCCATGTGGTTGGACAGGCGACCCTACTCCTTGTCACATACCAGCGGGGGATCAAAACCATGACAGACCTTCTGATCCAACGCGCACGTGTTAAACCACCTGGCCATCCAACCCTGCCAAAACATTAAGAGGATACTCGATTGAATATTCTGAATTTGAGTTCTCTCAACCCCAAAAATTGCGACAATCAAGTAAAAAGGCAGTCTTCGGGCTACAACGCATGCACCGGCTGCATGAAACATATTCGTCATGATTCTACTCACACCACCTCCACTGTCACTGTCAGAACTGACGGGACTAAATTCTGCATCACTTGATTGCAATTCTGTCAATTCGAGACGTTCCAGACTGAAAACCAATCATCCCCAAAAAGATAAACAAGAGTTACTGCCCTTACCTGAACATTTTCCTCACTTTCAGCTAAATCTAGCGCCATTTTTGTTGCTGAGTAAACTAAAAATAAAACATACTAGTAATAATCATTGCAACCAATTAGGGCATACAAAATATATATTCTGGTTCTCCGATGATCTCGCTAGCCTGGAGGTCGGGTGTTCGATCCCGGCATTGGCCGAGAAAGTTCATCTAGATTTTCCGCCGTGGTTCCCCCTTGTCAGTGATGCAGGATGGAGGGCCTGACAAGGACAGCTGTCTAGTCCTTCGGATTATACGAAAAACCGAGGTCCCTTGTATACATTGGAATGCACGTAAAAGATCCCTTGGCAGATGGAATTCGATATAAGAGTAGGCGATAGTGCCCCTGCCCGGGCAAAATTTCCCTCATAGCACACTGTATGGCATATGCCCGTCTTCATTAGCCCAGATAGGAGCAGAACAGTAGGACGTTAAACCCCATTTCATTTCATTTCATTTCTCCGATGATCCTTACCCTAAAAATCGGATGCAGGAAAAATACTCAGTCAATAATAATTTTGAAAACAGTTGAAACCATTAGCTCAATCTGTTTCACAGATGATTACGAAAGTCTTCTAATATCTCTGTAAAAGATGACTACCTTCAACACGTGGCGCCTCATCACGCTGCGTCAATCATTAGTACAATGGCGCGTGTATTGTTTACATAAGACGTTACTGATTCGAGCAGAATGGCACCTTTTACTCATTTTAATACCCATTTACACTAAATAGGAAATAATTTTGACCTACAAATACGTCAAACATCTTTATTTATTTTTCTAATCCATGAAAATGAAATGAAATGAAATGGGGTTTAACGTCCTACTGTTCTACACCGACTGGGCTAATGAAGACGGGCATACGCCATACATTGTGCTATGAAGGAAACTGTACCCTGACAGCAGCACTACGACCTACTCTTATATCGAATTCCAACTGTCATGGGATCTTTTACATGCAAACCAGTATATACACTGGACCTCAGTTTTTCGTTCAACATGAACGACTATAAATTGTCCCTGGCCAGTCCCTCTGTCATACGCCACTGACAGGCCACTGAATGTTCTCGTGGCTAAGTGGGTAAGATGCTTTCTCACTAGATTGGAGATCTCGTGTTCAATCCCTGCATTGGCCGAGAAAGTTCAGCGGGATTTTCTGACGTGGTTTCCCCTTGTCAGTGGTGCAGGACAGAGGGCTTGATAAGGACAGCTGTCTAGTTATTTGGATGGAACGGAAAACCTAGGTCCCGTAAATACATTGGCTTGCACGCAAAAGATCCCTTGGCAGTTGGAATTTGATATAAGAGTAGGGCATAGCACTGCTGTCTGGACAAAATTTCCCTCATAGCACACCGTATGACGTATGCCCATCTTCATTAGCCCAGTAAGAGCAGAACAGTAGGACGTTAAACCCCATTTCATTTATCTTCATCATCCGATGTATATTATTTTACAAACCTTTATCTGATATTTGTCATAGCACACTTTATGGAGTCTGCCTGGAGGTCGGATGTTCGATCCCTGCATTGGTCGAGAAAGTTCATCCAGATTTTCCGGCGTGGTTCTCCCTTGTCAGTGATGCAGGACGGAGGGGCTGACAAGGAAAGCTGTCTAGTCGTTTGGATGGGACAAAAAAACGAGGTCCAGTGTACACATTGGCGTGCACATAAAAGATCCCCTGGCAGTTGGAATTTGATACAAGAGTAGGCCATAGCGCTGCTGCCCGGGCAAAATTTCCCTCATAGCACACTGTATGGCGTATGCCCGTCTTCATCAGAGCAGAAGAGTAGGACGTTAAACCCAATTTCATTTCATTTCATTTGATACATAAACTTGTGATCATCGAATGTATATAATTATACAAACCTTTATCCGATATTTGTTGAAGATTATTGTCTAGTATTTGACAAATATCTGGTATCACATGATCATTAATACTTTGACATGAATCAGACGTAAATCGTAATCTCTCGATTTCTCGCTCTCCTCGTTTATCCTAAAAAAAAAAAACCCAATATAAATATACTATCATAATTATTCATGCCATTATTGTGGGAAAAATACATGATTTTGTTTTTACTCTTTGTACATACATGTATCAGTACTGGCACAATATACCATTTTGAGAGAGAGAGAGAGAGAGAGAGAGAGAGTGAGAGAGTTATTTCGGGACTAACATAATGGTTTAATTTTATTTCAATAATTCGCTTGAGCATAGGGTCTTTAGCAGTGGGAGGAAACCGGATCGAGGGCCCAGAGAAAACCCATGAGGTTGGACAGACGACCCTACTCCTTGTCACGTACAACGGAGGATTCGAAACCACGCCAGTTGACTCAATGACAGGCCTTATTATAATACAGTGCGCACATGCTAACCACTCGGCCATCCAACCCCGCTTTTTTCCTCATCAGAATGAAATGAAATGAAATGGGGTTTAACATCCTACTGTTCTGGTCCTAACCTGGGTTAATGAAGACGGGCATACGCCATACAGTGTGCTATGAGGGAAATTTTGCCCGGGCAGCGGCGCTACGGCCTACTCTTATATCGAATTCCAACTGCCAAAGGGCCTTTTACGTGCACGTCAATGTGTACACGGGACCTCGGTTTTTCGTCCCGTTCAAACTACTATACAGCTGTCCTTGTCAGGTCCTCCATCCTGCATCACTGACAAGGGGAAACCACGTCGGAAAATCTGCATGAAATTTCTCGGCCAATGCAGGGATCGAACACCCGACCTCCAGGCTAGCGAGCCAGCGTCTTACCCACTTAGCCACCGTGGCTCCCTAACAAGTCACTAGATGCTTTTGTAAAGCGCTTAGATATGACTTTTGGCTATTAAAGGAGGCGAGTCCTTAACTCAATATCATCCACAGTCTTTGACATTGCAAACACGACTTACTGGTCAATTTAAATCAATGAAGCACGTGCCAGAATGCTTTGTGCATCATTTGTTATAAAGCGACTCGATGAACGAAGCTAAACATATCCTACAGGAGAATAATACTGTGTAGACTGGAATAACCAGATGCCAAAGATTGCCAATTCATTTTGACTCTTCACGTATTTCACGAATATAACTGACTAGAAATTAGTGTAAAAACAGAAACGATTGCAATCTATTAGTGTCCACTTCCAGGTGCCAAAGAATAAAGATTTAGCTCCTTCAGTAGCAAGGTTGACGACAATCATTTATTATTAAAAACATTTCGTTGGTGAAGTGTCAAAAGGGTGTATCTCGGGAAATTAGTCAAATAGACTTTTTTGCATTTTTAAAATCTCCCAATTAATATGAACATTTCTGTCTAAGGTTTGTATCTCTATGCCAATTAGAACTGTTCTGGGTCTCATGTCTCCAAATGTTGTATCTTGATGTGTGGAAATTTTGAAATACAAAAGGTTCTATTTCTTAATCTTTAGAAAATCTTTTTTGTATTCCTGATTGTTTTCAAACTTGAGTGAAGTCTGTGTCACTACAGGCCCGGGACTGTACAGCGCAGTGGATGCTTACGGTTAGCCCCCGGATCGATTCACTTGATTTGATATTTGTTTATTTGGTGCAATGTCTATTTTCTGTCTTGTCCGCAGGTTTATCTTGTAGATTTTTGTTTTACGTGTAGTGCGGTCCTCCTGCACTTACTATTAGATACACCCTTTTGACACTTCACCGACAATTTGGTCATATAAAGGATGTTGTCTGTCATGGAAATAATATTATATTTGATAGTTTAGGTCAAGCGTATAAAACTATACCTCAAATTCTCTCAGGAATAAATTGATATTTCCTTGAAGAATTGGATGATGATCAAACAATCTGCTGTATAGAACACTAAAATCTGTGGATATAAAAAAAACATTAACAATTTATTTATTAATAGATAAATAGATAGTTTGCTACACAGGTGTATTGGAAAATCTATGGGGATAACAAAAGCATCAACAATCTATTTTATTAAACATACATTATGCAAGAGCTAAATCTGTCTAGGCCTGAAATTAATTAGACATTAATTAACCTATCCAGGCCATAATCAACTTTCAATGGCATTGCTAATGGTATGAGCCAATTTACGGCATAACTTTCCTTCATGATTTAACGAATAAATGGTTAATCGAGACTATGCTGTTTATCGTACTGACTTTAGTACTGTTGATCGAGGCTAGGCGGAAATTTCATTCGCTTACATGTAGTTCACGGTTCATTGTGGATCAATTTGAAAGAAATTTTCAGCAAATTGCCTTTACATTATCTAGTTTTTAACTATTATAGTGAAAACTGCCAACTCGTTATCAAATCTCCTATAATGTATCTTTAATACGAAGCAGTAATTAACTGTGACTTTCCAGAAAACTTATACTATTCTCGTCCTGGTTAAATATCTGTCATAGATTTCTGTTATAAACGTTTGTATTGCATGAGGTATAACAGATGATGGTCCACTTTCAATATAATAGAAATGAAATGAAATACTGTTCTGCTCCGTACTGAGCTAATGAAGATGGGCATATGCAATACAGTGTATCTATACTAATATTTGTGGCTGTCGTTTGTCTGTCTTTTCGGGGTTGGCGGCTACGCTAGGTCTGCCCCGAGTCTGAAATTTGGGGTATAGGGGTAGCTCGGACCGGGGAGTAACATAGGCAGGGTGGCGTTAGTCTACCACTTCCAGTTTCGGGGTTATGACCCCCGAGCGAAGCCGGGCATTCTTCTAGTCTTTGATAAAATGTAATGGTAATGTTTTACTTTTCTGCACCAACAGGGCTAATGATGACCAGGCATTCGGTGTGTCTATGGATAATGTGTGACATGGATAATTAGAGAGAGAGAGAAATGGGGTTTAACGTCCACTCGACACAAACTAGGTCATTTCGGGACTAACATATGGTTTAATTTTATTTCAATAATTCGCTTGCGCGTAGGGGGTCTTTAGCCCTGGGAAGAAACCGGAGGATCCGGAGAAAACCCACGACTCTACTCCTTGTCACGTACAACCGGGGATTCGAAACCACGCCAGTCGACTCAATGACAGACTTTATGATACAGCGCGCGCATGCTAACCATTCAGCCATCCAACCCCCCTGGATAATTAGAAGTGACAGGTTACTTATTTAAACAGGCATTATGCAAGAGCTAAATTTGTCTGTTGCAGGTCTTTTTAGGCCTTAAATGTTATATGATTTATTAATTAAAGTAATTAATCTCGATGCAATTGAAGAAGTCCGATTTTAAGTAGATTAGAACTGTTCGCCCATTTAATGATTGAATATAATAATGGTGAAGCGAGGTTAAGCATCGAACAACAAGTATGGTGGTTACAAATTGTGCACACATCTTGTCAAACCTTTAAAGGCAAATATCCTCACTCTGAATAAAGTAATTTGAATGAGATTTTCAATATATTCATTTTGCATTATCTATTTTTGAACTTTTATATCAAGAACCTAGCCAACTCCGTATCTAAATCTTACATCATAATGCTTCTTTAAGCAACAAAAAACACTTTAAAAAAAAGGAATCAAGACACATCAATTCAGCATCATGCGATTCAGTAGGCCTATGAGAATCGTGAGAAGGTGAATCGTGATACATCGATTTTCAAGATGTTACATACATAAAATTTGAAAATTCAGAACGTTCCTGCCAGACTGACAACTGACCATCCATTATGATTGATTTAAAGTTCAAATTAAACAGGGGGGTTGGATGGCCGAATGGTTAGCATGTGCACGCTGTATCATAACGTCTTTCATTGAGTCAACTGGCATGGTTTCGAATACCCAGTTTTACGTGGCAAGGTGTAGGGGCGCCTGTCCAACCTCGTGGGTTTCCTCCCACCGCTAAGACCCTAGAAATGGTTCCACTACTGATGTCTTCCGCCTTACTCCAGCCACAGTAGTGGCTCGTCCTACGGAGTTCCTTTGCGCAAGTTTTTGAGTCAAATCACTACAAAAAGGTTACTGGCCTATAGTTCCCTTAATTTACATGTACACATAAACTGACCCAAAACAGTACTGCACATAGCTTAACATATAATAAATCAATTCCCATTGAAATAAAGGTGAAGCCTTACCGCTTAATTATATGATTTGATGAAACCCAACTGCTACGCGAAATTTCAACTGTACGATGTTATGGCGGCTTGCGTAATACGTCATTACAAGAAACATCGCTATGCAAATGTAGAACGTATAACCACACAGAAAAACTGTTTGGTAACTATTTTAGTGGTCAAGTCTTCACAATTTGTCATAGAATTTATTCCAATACAAACTGTAATGATATGTGTTGACAATTGTGCATTTGAACCTATTTGTACTTGCGTAAGGAGTTTAAGACTACAGGTATCAATTGTAACGTAAACACACAGTTTAACGTTACAAAAACTATAGTAAGACCCCTACGCGCAAGCGAATTATTGAAACGAAATTAAACCTAGTTTGTGTCGAGTGGACGTTAAACCTCATTTCTCTCTCTCTCTCAAATTAAACATAAACATGGCAAATGCAACTTGCAAGATTATATTCAATAAATTCATTTCCTTCTTTCATTTTTTATTTTATTTTGGGGCAAATCTAGACAAAAACAAAGATACTCTCTGGGTAGAAGAAATTTACTCCATGTTAAGGGAACCCCCGGGCTTACTCTAAAACTGAATGATTTTAATCAAACCTTTGAATAAGTGTTCTGTTGTCATCTTGGAAGTTGTACACAGCGTTGAAAGATTGTCTTATTTCATCTCGTGACAGCAAAGAGAAATAACTCTTGTTTACTACAAATTCTACAAACAATTTTGACGTGGACCAAGCCGCAATTTGATGTTCGCTGGTGAAAAAAAAAAAAACACTACAGAAATGCCGTGCTGATAAAATAGGACTCGGTTGGAGACTTGGTTTAAAACCAAGAAATCATATGTACATTAGGACTGGTCATGAATAATTAAACAAGACAAAACAACTCCTGTCTTGTTGGGAAAACCGAAATTGTGTGGCTTCGATCCGAATCTAATAAATGGATTGTACAACACCAAATGTGACAAAACATGGCTGCCGACGTATTTGGTGATGCGAGTTTATTTTCTGAATTTGAAAAAGACCGCGAAACTCAGCGATTTCTTGACGATGCCGATGCCTCAGAAGATGTGAAAAATACGAAAGATGAAGAAAATGATGCTATATCTATTGATAATGGCGACAGCAGTTCAGAACCAGACGACTGTGACGTCAAAACCGCAGTTTCGGTTTCTGGTGAAGTCGATGATGGATCTGATGAAATGGAAACGGGGGAAGAAACAGTATCAAAAACTACACAGCACAAGATTATATATGAAAGAAATAAATTTCGTTCTTTTGCTAAAATAATAGATTCAACAAAATATGTACCTGATGACCAGAGTCCAGCAGTTCAGGTAACTTTACATAAAATGATGGCATCAGCGCCGGATTATTAACCATGGGCATGGTGGGGGCCCTGGGGCCTTGAGTAGGGGTTTCAGGTCACGTTACTTTAGCGTGAAATCTGACAGCCAGTGGCTGAAATATAGGCTAGTCCACTTCAATCTACGATTCTGAATTAATATTTTATTTAAATGTATTACTAGCAATTGTATTTTAATAGTTTGGTTAGGATTTATGTTAGGGTTATTCATGCCAAAGATTGTTATTAGTCAAGGACATTCCTAATTGACTGAGGGGGGTTGGGTGGCCGAATGGTTAAGTCGTGCACATTGCACCATAAGGTCTGTCATTGAATCAAGTGGTGTGGTTACAAATCCCCGCTTGTATGTGACAAAGAGTAGGGTCCCCTGTCCCACCTCGTGGGTTTTCTCCCTTTTCCTCCCACTGCTAAAGACCCTTATGCTCGAGCGAATTAATGAAATAAAATTGAAATATATTTTAGTCCCAAAATGACCTAGTTTGTGTCAAGCAGACATTAAACTCTCTCTCTCTCTCTCTCTCTCTCTCTCTCTTATATAACAAATTTTTATGAATCCCAAATTCTTTTCAGATTTTATTCCAAAATAACAAATTTTCACGGAATCACAGAGCAGAGATTGAAGACTTTATATTGAATTTAATGGATCGAGATCGACACGAAGAATATAACCACGGAGAGTTGAATCTGCCAAAACTAAATCTGAAAGCTTCAACGCCAACGTGCGTAGATATCAACGAGAAATTACCAGTGGAAAAAAGAACGGCCGAGATGTGGGATGCTCATGCTATCATTGGCTGTGCACAGTTTCATCAGCTGTTTATGGTGGATTCTCGGGGATGGCCTCTTCTACCTGGTTCTTCAGACCATTCTGTTACTTGGGATTTCATCAAGTTTGAACAATTATTTGAGGTATGTTTAGTAATCTGCAGGGCTAGAAATTCGTCATATTTTGCGAGAATCTTAAAGATACATTATGCGAGATAAGATAATTTAGAGCTGGCAGTTCTCACAGTAATAGTTAAGAACTAGATAATGTAAAGGCATTTTGCTGAAAATTTCAGTCAAATTGATCCACTATGAACCGAGTATTACTAAGCGATTGAAATTTCAGCCTAGCCTTGATCATCATTACTGAAGTCTGTACGATAAAAAACATAGTCTCGATCATCTATTTCATGATTAAATTATGAATGGAAGTCGAGCGATAAATGGGATCATAATCCAGTAAGCATCGCAGGCTAGCGATGCCATCGAGAGTTGATTATGGTCTGGATAAGTTAATTAATGTCTAATTAACAACTCAGATAACATTTCAGGCCTAAAGAAAGACCTGCAATTGGAAGATTTAGCTCTTGCATAATGTATGTATAAGAGGATTCTCGTATGCAATCTGCACGAATCCTCCAAATCATAATTAATAATATTGTCTAAAAAAAACAAACTTGTAGTTTTCATTTAGTTCCTTACTCCATTTCATAACAGTTTCTTTAGATGCAGCTTTAATTTTGCTTCCAGAAGCCATGTTAATGTCTGAAAAATTCAACTGATAACCGCACAGACAAAAGTGAAAAAAAACCAAGTGACTGATCTTGACAGTGACAGAATAGAATTGGAATGACCCAATTTAACCCCATTATATTGATGTGGAACTAATGGGATCAAATCACTCGAAAGGATAAAATGGAACTCAAAATTATTCGTTTCAAGGTTGACCTGCTAAAGCAGGTGGGGGGTTGGATGGCCAAATGGTTAGCGCTAGCGCGCTGTATCATAATAAGGACTCATTTAGTCAACTGAAGTGGTTTCGAATCCCCAGTTGTCCGTGACAAGGAGTAGGGTCGCCTGTCCAACCTCATGGGTTTTCTCAGGGTCCTCCGGTTTCCTCCCTCTGCAAGCGAATTATTGAAATAAAATTAAACCATATGTTAGTCCTAAAATGCCCTACTCCCCCTAGTTTGTGTTGAGTGGAGTTAAACCCCATTTCTCTCCCTCTCTCTCTCCCCCCCATGACTTAGTTGCTGTGGGATATATGTTTCATTGCCTGGCAACCTATGTTTTTATGTTTTTTAGACTCCATTACCAGTGGATGAAGAAGATTTAAAGATTGTGAAAAGGGATCAGAAAAAGAAAAATGGCTGCTTTAATTGTGGGGGAGAACATAACTTAAACGACTGCCCCACACCCAAAGACCAGAACAAAATACGCGAAAATCGACGCAAGTTCCAGGATGCAAGTTCTGTGCCGAAATTAAGCTTGTCTAAAAATTATTCAGATTTCGAAGACAATCCCCGATTTAAAAAGTTTCGACCAGGTGAAATAAGTGATGAACTTTATTCCGCGATGGGAATCGATAGATCGCAGTTGCCGATGTATATATATAAGATGCGGCTGTTGGGTTATCCGCCCGGCTGGCTTTTCAGTGCTAAGAAAGGATATTCGTCGGGAATTGTTATTTTCGATAAAGAGGGCAAAGAGACAAATTTAAAGGGCGAGACCCTAGAAGATGGTGAAATAAATGCGGAGGGAACGGAAGATCCGCAGGTAGAGATTGAAAAGATTATCGAGTATCCCGGGTTCACGGTTCCGTTACCAGATGGCGTTGTAGATGATTGTCAACATTTTAACATGCCGCCATTACAAACACATCAGTTGAAAAATACACTTGAAAGACAGGTTAGTGGTTGTTTATACGCAGGGTACGAAGGGCTCGCGCTGTCAATTGCCAAAGTTGCAATCTGGTTAAAACACAGATCCTAATTCGTTTCGTTTTTTATAATAGTTCAAAATTTCGTTTTACTTGTCTTTACTACACTTGGATCTGGAAGAGTTGTATATTACTGGCATTTCGGTTGAAGTGAGGGATAAGCTAATGAAACAGTCTGTTACGAAACTGTAGGTAAACCACTAGAAACGTCAACGCTGATTGATTAATCAATGTCTGACTGAAGCCTAGTTGCTAAATATATAGGAGGCCTCTAGTAGCCAAGGTGTATAATATTTTTGACAGTGTCAGGGGTGGGGGGAATGTTTAGCATGTGCGCGTTGTATCATAATGCAGACCTTGTCAGGAGGTGCGAGTCATTACTTGTGCGCACGCTATACTCGCCTAAAATGTAATTCGCGATAGTAAGGCATTACTCGCGCAAACATTTCTGGAAACTTTTCATAGAAAAATGTACAATTCTTAAATGAAAATTTAAAATTATCTAAGGCCATAGTTATTTGATTTTCTGGTTTGCTCGGTTCACCATTTTTAATTCAATATCTACAATAAAATACAAGACAATAGGCCAACTCTGTCTGTTTCCCATTGTACGTGACACTGCGATAATATTATTCCGATTACACAATGTTACTAAGAATAGAATAAAGTAAACATAGAAGGCGTCTATTGATTGGACAATAAAGAAATTATTTCGGGCTTGCAACGTAGAATTTTTATGATTGGTTAATTTAACTGAAATCCAAAGTAGAATTCTCGCGAGAAATATAACGAGATATGAAAATTTGTAGAATGTTTTTACGAATATAATGTCATTTTCTAGTCTTTATGACTACATTTTGAATAGTGGTTTCATTTTAAAATAAATATTAAACAAGCTAGAATATAGTTAGAAATGCCGAGAACTATTTGTATTGGAATAACAATAGCTAAAGTCAGAACAAAGTGCGTTGACATTGCTGTACGTACGAGTACTATTTAATTACTAAACTATTAATTATTAGTATATTTTAGCAGACGATGCCACTGTTAACATCGTGGGACAACAGTACATTCCACGATTTTCAAACATCACATGTATAATACAAAAGGGTAGAGACGTATTTCTGAAAACCTTTTTATCTTAGCTAAACAGGATAACGAAAAACATTTGTTATAATAAAGATGAATATGACCCCAAACGACAAGTCACAAGGGTTTTACATCATTAGACTTTACACACGATCGACTACTATTATTTTCACCAGTTGTCTTTGTTCCCTCGACAGAAGCCTTTCATATTTTTTTTTAAAGTAAACTACTATTATTTTCACATTCAGCCAAAATAAATTGGACAAAATATTCTTTAATTATTATTGTTTATTAAATTAATCTAGGCACTCGCACAAATAAGTTTTCTTTTTGGAATTAGAATGAATAAAAGTTCAAGTGTTGAATTAATATTAATAATATTACAAATGACAAGAAGGCTCACTTCTAGTGAAGAACATTAGAAAATAAAGTCTTACATCTTTGGAATGGAAGTTAATCAATGGAGTCTAGGCCTAGCTTCCATTTGTCAGAGTTCTTGGTCTCTATTGTAATTTTACTCCCCTACGAAAATTTTGCGTGAGTAAGTCAGTTACTCGCCAAACTCACACAGAGTCTTTTTTGTGCAAGTAATGGAGTACTCATGCAGTGATAATGTCTGTCATTGAGTCACCTGGCATGGTTTTGATTCCGCGGTTGTACGTGACAAGGAGTAGGGTCGCCTGTCCAACCTCGTGTGTTTTCTTCCAGTCCTCTGGTTTCTTCCTACTGCTAAAGACCCCCTACGCACAAGTTAATTATTGAAATAAAATTAGATCATGTGTTAGTCCCAAAAGGACCTAGCTTGTGTCGAGTGGACGTTAAACTGCATTTCTCTCTCTCTCTCTTATATCCTTCAATAAAATGCCAGTATCAAAACAAGAGTTGCCTCCCTTTCAAGGGATCAGACAGTATTTAACTAACACTAAAACGTAGTTTTGCAATACATGCTGTAAAGAATATTAAATGTAATGAATGTAATTATCCATGTGATAATCACAAAATTAGCTCTACTCAGGATAAATCAAAACAAGAGTTGCCTCCCTTTCCAGGGATCAGACAGCAATTAACTAACACTAAAACATTCGGTTTTCATAGAGACTGTAATAATATTAACTGTAATGAATGTAATTATCCATTTGTTAGTCAGAAAAATACTCTATACAGAATTGTGAGGAAAATCAAAACAAGAGTTGCCTCCCTTTTAAGGAATCAGACAGCAATTAACTGACACTAAACCTTACAGTTTTGACATAGACACTCAGATACTATAAAAAATATTAACTGTAATGAATGTAATTATCGATATGCTAGTCACAAAAACACAGTTACACAGAAATGTGAGGATAAATCTAGACTATATTTTTGAATTAAATTTTATCTACTTATAAATGAAAGGTTAAGGCCACAGAAATTTGAATGATTGTGTAATAAAATGAACTGGGATTTAATATCCTAAGATTCTGCTCCAACTATTCTCTGTGCACGTAAAAGATCCTTTGGCGATTGGAATTCGATATAAGAATAGGCCTAAGTGCCGCTGCTTTGGCAAAATTTCCCTCATAGCAGTCTGTATGGCGTATGCCCGTCTTCATTAGGCCATTCGGAGCAGAACAGTAAAACGTTTTACAAATGAAGTGAAATGGGGTTTAACGTCCTACGGTTTTGCTCCGAACTTGGCTAATGAAGACAGGCATATATGTGCCATCAGGGAAATTTTGCTTGGACAGCGGCACTGTGGCCTACTCTTATATCCAATTCCAACCGCCATGGGATCTTTTACCTGCACGCAGAACGATTGGAGCAGAACCGTAGGACATTAAATCTCATTTCATTTTATTACACAACCATTCAAATTTCACTTGCCTTAACCTTTCATTGGCGTATGACCTCGGTTTTTCGTCCCATCAGAACGACTAGACAGCTGTCCTTGTCAGGCCCTCCATCCTGCATCATTGACAAGGGGAAACCATGCCGGAAAATCTGAATGAACTTTCTCGGCCAAAGCAGGGATCGAACACCCGACCTCCAGGCTAGCAGGCATGATGGGAGATTAGATAAAGAGCTGACGGTTTTCGCTATAAAAAATAGATAATGTAAAGAGAATGTGCTGAAAATATTAGTCAAATTGCCTCACTCTGTGCCGAGTTATCAGTGACCAAAATCACCAAATTTTAGGCCTAGCCTCAATCATCATTACTAAAGTCGCTACAATAAAAAAAAACAAGTCTAGACTATCCATTTTTACATTAAATCATCCATCACAAAATGTATTCAAATCCAGTAAATATGGATGGCATCGAGAGTTGATATTAAGGTCTTGTCATGTTAATCAATGTCTAATTGATAATTTCTAGAACATTTCAGGCCTAAAGAAAGATCTACAATAGGCAGGTTTAACTCTTGAATAATGTATGTTTAATGTATCTGTTTCTGTTTATAGGTCAGTGTTCAAGAAGATATGAAAAAACGTAAAGCCGAGCAAGAAGATGAGGTAAAAAGAAAGAGAATTCGTATGATAAATAAAGAAGCAGACATGGAGATGAGTGATGAGGAGGATGATACAGAGACTTCTGGAACAGATTCTGATTTCCGTCCTCCGTTGCCAGTCAACACACCTCCAACCAAACCCCCAATACCAGTCGGAACTCCCCCTATTACACCTGTTAGTCAACGAGGTCCTCTTTATCACCCAACTCTTGCTAATTTAACCCCGCCTCATTTTGATGGGAGTAATCCCCCTTTACCGGACTACACACCACCTTGTCGTCCTCCAATCCCTGATGGCACACCCCCTCCTACGCCCCCTGTAAGCCTTACTTTGAGATCAAAATCCCAGGAATCGAACGGAAACGACAGTCCTAGTTTTGAAAATCTACAGGCAAAGTATCAGGAGATCTTGGAACAGCTAAATGAAGACGGCAGCTCTCAATCTGAAAGTGAAATCAATTCTGTTGTTATGGTGGAAGCGAGCGAGGAATCAGACAATTCCACTGTGCCTCTCAGCCGACAGACAACTAACAATTCTGATACGTCTGTGCGTACATTGTCACGAGCGAGCAGCACTTTATCAATACAATCATTAGACGAATCAGGACTAGCACGCGGGAACTCTTTAACAAAAGAGTTCGGAACGCCCATCCTTGAGGTGTCGACAAGTGTTTCGCAACTTCCAAATCGCAATAACTTCAAACAAGGCGCTGAAGAACATTTATTGTTTGAGAACTTACCTGGTTCGACAGGAACATTCTCCAAGATCAGGCAACTTATGGGGAAAATTAAATCAAAAATAGGGAAGAAATAGGTTCATATTAGCTATCAAAACCCACCAGGGCTTGCCACGAGCAAATTGGAGGCGAGTAGATGACTACTCACGCAAATATAGACTTGCGCGAGTGAGGCGAGTACATGTATTTACTCACGCAGAATGATGTGCGCGAGTAGCCATTTAAATTTCATGTGCCTAATGGCAATGCTCTTGTCAATTCGGTGGAAGCGGACGTTGAATAAAGCTATTTCACACACAATGACAATGCATACTCTTTTATTTCCTTGGCAGTAATATTATCTGTAAATCGTCTTCCCATGACAAGAACGTTGCAAGAGAAACTGGGCTTCCCTTTGCAATCGTTGGTGTGCTGAGGGGATTCGGCTAAAGCTTAGAAAGGTAAAAGAACAGGCAAAACAATTTCAATCCCATCAATTTGCAGAAAAGATGCGGGATCGAAAGAATTGCTATTAATAGAAACGACAACATCCGCTCAATGTTTGATTATCCAGACACGGCAAAGGACATCCGCTTAAAAACCGCCTGGCAGTACGTGTCTCAAAGTATTTTTAGTAACAACAGTTGGCACTGGAAAGACACGCCGCTTGCGCAATAGTGCATCGATATGAAGGCATACAAATTGTTTACAGCTTTTTATATTACGATATTCAATTATTTCTGATTAAATAATTTTTATATTTGCGCGAGTACTTAATCACTCACGTAAATTTGGTTTTATGCGAGCGTAGCGTGCGCTCGAGTAATTACTCGCGTCTCGTGGCAAGCCCTGCCCACCCAAAAAATATTTAGGTAAAAGCTCAGAATTGTGCAGAAAAGTAGCCCAGTTGAAGTCCCCTAGTAGTATGAGTATTCCAAGATCCCCTGTCAAAAGTCAAAATCTAGAAACTCACTTTATTATCAAAATTGACTTAGGACCAAATTTGTAGTTACTAGGGTATGTGCTTGCTGTTGTTGTACTAGATATTCCAATCTTTTGATTTTGTAAGCAGTTACACCCATGAAACAACCAAGCAACTTCCTTCCATTTGCCTAGTATACCACAGAAAAGCCTAGTAACTCAATAGTCAAATCAGTGGATAAGCTGGGGTTTAATTGTTTAATATTCATTCATTACGTTTTCTCTAAATAAGAAAAACATGAGTTATTAGGTGTTGCCTTTTAACGGGAGAGATTTGAATAAGTAGAGTCATGGACATTGATGACATCAAGAGATTCTAGGAAATGAGTTATTCCTTTTGATGGCGGAGGTAAATATGATGCAAATATAAATAGGGGGTATCTTGTTGGGATTGTTATCAAAACTCACCAAAAAAAATGTTGCAGAAAAGTAGCCCAGACGTTTATATCTAAAAGCTGTGTAAAAGATTTCTGGGATGGTATTTACGACAGATAGTTTTTCTAGTTCTTGGTTTTGCTTGTGGACTCGGAGGAGGATGCATTTGTTCATGTAATGATAAAGTAATTTTATTCCCAAAACATTAAATTACAACTACACATAGAATTTATGGGGGAAAATAATTTGGACTAACAAAAATAAGATATTGGGGCTTATTCTTAAAAACTTGAAGTAAAATATTTTAAAGATGCAGTGTTTTCATTGGTCAAGGTTTAAAATCTAACTGAAAATTTCAGCTCTAAGACAATGAAAAATCTGCATTCTTAAAATATTTTGATTTAAGCTTTTGTGAATAAGTGTTTTCATTGGTTGAATTTTAAAATCTAACTGAAAATTTCAGCTCTAAGCCAATGAAAAACCTGCATTCTTAAAATATTTTGATTTAAGCTTTTGTGAATAAGGCCACTGGAGTATTTATGGCTAAAAGAGTACAGAAAACACGAATTTGGACTCGCTGTGGTGTTCATTTGACTAAAATGATGGATTATTTTGGACTTGCCATGGTGTACATTTGACTAATTTTAAAACTAAAATGATGTATTTTGAACTCGCCATGGTGTTCGTTTGATTTTAAACTAAAATGAAGGAAAATATTTTGGACTTGCCATGGTGTACATTTCACTTTAAACTAAAATGATGGAATATTTTGGACTCACCATGGTGTACATTTGGTCTAAGATAAAGAAAACAATGGAGGTCAGATAATTATAAAATTACTTGATTTCCAATATTTAATAAATATTTTTAAGATTTTTCGTAACAGATATATAATATAAAACTTTTGAGAAAGTTCTAATGTTATAAAAATGTTTACAGTGCTGGAAATTTCAATATGGTGCAAACATTGTAGATTTCATTTCATGTAATGTCATGTTTTTATTGCTTGAAAATTGTTTTAAAATAAAAATCATTCATTATTGTCATAAAAAATATAGTATTGTCAGGGTGGAGACAGTGTCAAGATTGGCTTGAGGTCTTGCCAGAGAAGGGTATAAAGTCAGAAGGGGGTTGGATAGCCAAATGGTTAGCATGTGCAAGTTGTATCATAAGGTCTGTCATTGAGTCAACTCGTGGTTTTGATTCCCCGGTTGTACGTGACAAGTAGTAGGGTCACCTGTCCAAACTCCTGGGTTTTCTCCGGGTCCTCCGGTTTCCTCCCATTGCTAAACACCCCTACGCCCAAGCCAATTATTGAAATAAAATTAAACCATATGTTAGTCCCGAAATGACCCATTTTGTGTCGAGTGGACGTTAAACCCCATCTCTATAGGATTGATTAGAGTGGAGAGGCCAAAATAGCGGCAATGCTTAGCACCTTTGTTTGTTGTGCCGATGTCCCCATAGCATATAGTATGATGTTTGACATAAACCTGTCCGAAGCCACAGTGACTCAGTGGGTAAGACGCTGGCTCGCTAGTCTGGAGGTCGCGTGTTCGATCACTGCATTGGCAGAGAAAGTTCATCCAGATTTTCTGACGTGGTTTCCCCTTGTCAGTGGTGCAGGACGGAGGGCCTGACAAGGGCAGCTATCTACTTGTTCGGATAGGACAAAAAACCGATGTCCCATGTACACCTACTCGATATAAGAGTAGGTCGTAGCCCTGTTGTTTGGGCAATATTTCCTCACTGTCTGCTACATGGTGTATGCTTCTCTTCATTAGTCCAGTTGGAGCAAAACAGTAGGACGTTGAACCCTATTTCATTTCATTTTGTTAGCCCAGTTGTCGTAGGACATTAAATCCCATTTCATTTTCGTTTTCATTAGTCCAGTTGGCGTAGGACGTTAAACCCCATTTAATTTCTGTATGGGATTGGAAGTAATCATTAAGGTAAGACAGTGTAAAAATTGTCAAGTCAATACAATTTATATAACACATTGTCTTCATTAGTTCCGTAAGCACAGTAGGTGTGGCAGACCGAATGGTTAACACATGCTCATTGCATCCTAAGGTCTGTCATTGAGGCAAGTGGCGTGGTTTGGATTCCCTGCTGGTACATGACAAGGAGTAAGTAATGTCGACTGTCCAACCTCGTTAGTTCCGAAATGACCTAAATTGTGTCGAGTGGACGCTAAGCCCGATTTCTCTCTCCATTGTAAAAACCGTAAATTGTTTATTTCCTAGCATTTCTAGCTGCTTAATTATCGAGTAAGATTCTGTAAAATAATGCCGATTCTGACTTTCATAGTTTCTATAATTATCTTATTTTACAATAGTTCGTAATGCTCAACAATTTTGTGATTTTTTAAGAAATCATTTAAATTTTGGAATATGTATATCGGCAACGGTCACTTTTTGCGGGTTATACACCATACCAAAACGGCCAAGTATATTATTTAAAACAGCCATATTTTGGTCAAAACGGCAATATTTTGGTCAAAACGGCCATATTTTGGTCAGAACGGCAATATTTTGGTCAAAACGGCAAAAAATATTAATTTATAGCACAATACTTTGGTTGCTACTGGCAAAAGAAACGTTCTTGTCCGTCCGTCCTTCTCGGGGATTAGTAGGACTCCCTAATTGTGCTGACAAGGAGTATCTACATTCTGCATACAGAGTTCCATCTACTTCAATACTTCGAAAATAGATCTCTGTCCTTACTGACCGCCATATCCCATTTTTTTTTTCTTTTTATACATTATAATATTTTTTTATACCTTCATCAAAAAAACTCGAAAACAATTACGATATGTTGAAGCAATAGACTTTTATATTATTGACAAAAATTATTGTATATATACTACAAATTATTCCACAAAGCAACCATATTTTAGTCCTGAAATGATCTAGTTTGTGTCGAGTGGACGTTTACCCCCCTCTCTCTCTCTCTCTCTCTCTCTGAGAGTGGAGACAAGAAGTAGGTTCGCCTTTCCAACCTCGTGGGTTTTCTCCGAGTCCTCCGGTTTCCACCCACTGCTAAACCCCCTACGCGCAATGTGTCGAGTGGACGTTAAACCCCATAATGCCATCTCTCTCTCTCTCTCTCTCTCTCTCTCTCTCCATTTAAATGCCATACACAGAATTTCTGCTAACAGGTGGGGTTTATTAAACATGGCTTCTGTTGATCATGGCACATTCTCTCGCTGATAACCCCAATACGTTTATACTCGAATATAGGTGTTACGGTATAAACTAAGGTGGAGAAGGGTCGAACCCTCTGTACATTTTCTCCCTCTCGCGGCCTAATGAGGGAGTCAGTAAGACTATATTTATGTAATTGGCGACTGAATTTTGATAATTTGCTAAGGGTGGAGAAGTCTACCTCGAGTTACGAATTCTAAATATTTACTAATTGTGGTAGATAGAGATTGAACGCCATCGATATAAAATAACTGACATCTAATTTGAGGACAAGATGAACGTGTTGAAACGTAGTGTGAAATAAAGTCAGTAATTGTTTTCCATATAAATTGTGTTTTAATATTAAATATTAAGAAAGAGAGAGAGAGAGAGAGGGAGAGAGAGAGAAGAGAGAGAGGGAGAGAGAAGAGAGAGAGAGAGAAGGAGAGAGAGAGAAGAGAGAGGGAGAGAGAAGAGAGAAAGAGAGAGAGAGAGAGAAGAGAGAGGGAGAGAGAAGAGAGAGAGAGAGGGGGAGAGAGAGAGAAGAGAGAGGGAGAGAAAGAGAGAGGGAGAGAAAGAGAGACTAACATTCACACACACTAGGTAATTTCTGGTCTAACGTGATTCAATTTTATTTGAATATGTTAGAGAAGACCGGCTACAATAACAAACGGATTAATTAAACGAACAATAAAATGTTTCGTTCTGAATAATATATGACTGTGCATTATCTAGAGAGAGAGAGAAAGAGAGAGGTGGGCCTTTATCGTCCTTCCATTTACATGTACTTTCCTTAGCCGACTCGTCTAATGAAGGCAGGCGTACATCATGTCGAACTCCGTCTGCCAAAGGTTCTTTTACGTGCACGCCAATGTGAGAGACATTACCACCTAATGATAATGACTCAAAAGATGCAAGTTGGCGTGCACGAACTAAAATAACATTTTACAGACAGCTGGAATTCAATATAAGAGTAGGTGGAAACGCCTATATTCGGACAAAATTTCCCTCATAGCAAAATGTATGGCGTATGCCCGTCTTTATTAGCCCAGTTCGGAGCAGAACAGTAGGACGTTAAACCCTATTTCATTTCGTTCTATGCTGTAACAGAAAAAGCAGGAAAACTACAAGACAACAACAAAAAAAAGACAAACTGTATAGGAATATAGGCTAGGCAGCGCAATTAGATACAAATTCGCAGAAATGATGATATTGAGATTCTACAACTATCAATTTACATAATATGGATTTTGTTTCCATCTTTCGGAAGGGACGAAAAAAATAAGTTCCCGTGTACACATTGCCGTGCACGTGAAAGATCCCTTGGCAGTTGACCGGAGAGAGAGATAAGGGGTTTAACGTCCACTCGGCACAAACTAGATAATTTCGGGACTAACATATGGTTCAATTTTATTTCAATAATTCTCTTGCGCGTAGGAGTCTTTAGCACTGGAAGGAAACCGAAAGACCCAGAGAAAACCCACGAGGTCGGACAGGCGACCCTTCTCCTTGTCACGTACAAGAGGAGGTCGAAACCACGCCAGTTGACTCAATGACAGACCTTTCTATCCAACGCGGACGCGTTAAACATTCAGCCACCAAACCCCCGTGTAGACCGTAGCACCGATGTCCTGGCAAACTTTTCCCCATACCACACTGCATGGCGTTTGCCCGTCTTCATTAGCCCAGTCGGCGATGAAAGGTAGGATGTTGAACCCCCTGTCGAGTGTAAAATAAAACGATACTACATTAATGTCATCGAAAGCTTTAGTATATTCCATTGGAAGTCAACCGGGCTAATCAAGAATGTGGTATGGGAGAAATTTTGTCCGGATAGTCACGTTTCTGAATACTCTGCATTTACCATACTCACGGCCGTGGATGGCTATAGTAGAACTTGAGCCGGTGCGTCGGGTCACAAATTTCGGAATATGTATATTGTCACTCATCTTATAATGAGTTACTCGGGTGGTATATTGTTACTCATAGTATAATGAGTTACTCAGGTGGTAATTTACGCACGTCGGTCGCAGAAGGAAGGTACGGGTCAATTTTATGGACGACGACAGATTAAATTAGGATGCAAATGTATTTTGATACTGACTTTGAGGACGTGGTTTTAATACCCAACCTCGTGGATTTTCTCAACGAACAGGTCCTCCGATCCCCCCCCCCACCATGTTAGTCCCGAAATCATCTAATTTGTGTCGAGTTGACATTAAACCCTCTCTCTCTCTTTCTCTCTCTCTCTCACCACAGACTGACACAATATATTCTAAGACATAGACAGATTTTGCCGGTCTGAAGCATAAAACAGAATGGAGGGGGGGATTCCAAGCATAAACAAAAGTATTTTTCAGTTTGCCGGTCTAAAGCATTAAGCAGAATGGAGGGGGTGGGGGGCAAGCATAAACAAAAGTATTTTTCAGTAGCAGGAATTAAGATCAACCCAGCCGACCTTTTCATTTCATTTTAATACATTCACGAAAATCAAAACAAATATTAGTACTTGTTTATCAATTCTTTTATTATACTAATGTTCGATTATCCAGCTGTATAAAGTATTTTACATAAGGAATGTCTAATGAGTATGTATGACGTATTTATAACGCAGCAAGTGGTTACATGTTGTCAATGGTTACATATGGTCCATGTTGTTTTTTTATATACAAAAACAGCTAAACTACATTTATGAAAATATACAATTATACAAAAAAATAGAATATATGAGGGAATAATGGATAAATGATTTGTAAATTCCTTCGATATGCTTCAATGAATTTGCATTGACTAGAATTTTTACATAAGGCCAAACCAATTTTATTTTCCGTTCACCGGGGCCACCTATAAATATTTCCTTCTTACATCTTCTAGAACAAGTTTTATTTAAAAATCTGGGGCCTGTTTCACGAAATTCTAACCAAGATCAAATCCAAATTTAAGTAATTTGACTGGATAATATTAGATTGATTTTATTGCTTAACCAATCAAAATTGAAGTATCTGCTAAACTTGGGATTTTATCTTTAGTTAAGATTTCAAGAAACAGAACCCAGAAGTACTTGGCTGTGCTGATCAAAAGCCTTTAATTCCAATTCTTTTTTTTTAGTTTTGAAATTTTAGGCAAGACATATTTCGCGTATTTGTTTATCAAGATCCCGAAAAACAGAAAATGAAATAGACGTGGCCTAAATGTACATATTGCAGTAACTAGATCGCCAAACAAAACGAAAATCTACATTTCGCTTTAAAGCGGAAATTGCAAATTTTCTAAGAAAGTCAAAATGTAATTATTTCTATGTCTTTTGCTCAATAGGTTGTCAACTCACAATTATACGATCATAGGTGTCATTCTCACACTTAAGATTCATTTAGACAGGAAATAATAACACAATTACCTCTCAATTACCTCCCTTGTTTTCTATTCTCCACCATGGAGTAGCGATATTCAAACGTTTAAAAAAGAAGAGGAAAATGATATTTTTGCCAATTTCTCAGCTGGCAATAGTGAATTATAGGATTAATAGGATTATTCTTTAACAAGGTAGGACTGTTTATGGATACCATCTATTTTCAGGCTTTATTTTAATAAATTTTAAAAATATAACTTAAAAATTTGCAATTTCCGCTTTAACATAAGTAGGTTTGGTTATTAACTTTTGGGCACTTTCCGGGACTATAAACTTGCTTCCCCTCGACTACATTTTAAACCCAATTAAAACGTCTTTGTTGTATGAAAATATATAAAAGGCACTATTTGGGAAGCATAGTCACGTGATTAATATGATCACGTGATAGACTACTGATTTACATATATACAAATAACAAAAAAAACAGCAACAAGTCATTCGTCATATTTTAAAAAAAGATATTGAAACAAATCAAATTGTAAATTTGTCATAAATCCAATTATTTGAAATTATTTCATTTGGAGATTTTTTTTAGTTTTAAAGTCGAAGAGTTATACACAGTAAAATTTTAATTTAAAAACAAAACAAATTCTCCATGCAAAATAAGCAAATATGGTGTGAGACAAAGGCTTTGTGGAATTAAACTTTAGCACATATATATTATTATACAGTATTGGCTCGGATCATATATCGATGAAAATGGGTGAGGGCATTCCACAAACCAAACGGTGTTGACCGTTGGTGCAGTAACTGTCTCTTGGTAAAGTTTTAAAAATTCTTAAATAAATTATCTTGAGATTCAATTCTGAGATTGAGCCATCATTCGAAAATAAATTCGAAATGAAAATTTGTATGGCAGTAATGATACGGTCAGCACACTAATTTTTTAATAATCTTAAAAAAAACGAACTCTGCGCATGCTTCATACGATTGTTCACAACACTGGAAATTCTGAAAATCTCCAATCCATTAACTTTAGCAACGGTAGCACTGTTGGTTGTCATCTTCGTCCAGTCCTTTCTGTAAATGCATTGATTGTCCAGTCTTTTCTCGTATCTTTAACAAACTAATTCTCCAACAAAACAAACAAATGTAACAAATCGTGACTGCTCATGTCTGAAATATAAGAACAAAATACATTAAAGTTGCATTATGCGAGGTCTAAATCTGCCCACTGGGTGTATTTTATCGGACTTCAAATGTCATTTAAATTATTAACTCGACATATATTAACATTGCAAACCCATATCCAATTATTTAGACCGTCGGGTGGCTTTGATATTAATGGAAAATCGAGACTTCGTTTATTATCGTAGCAACGATACGCTAAACTACGCTATTCTGCTTAAGACTTCAAGACTGAAATTTTCATTATTTCATTTTCGGTAATCTAACTTTTTTAAGAAATGAAATGAAATGAGGCTTAACGTCCTACTGTAACTTTTTAAGAAGTCAACTTTTTCTAAATCATTTATAATGCATCTTTAAAAGAGCCATCCTAAATGCTATCCCACTATGATAGAAGACGTTCATATAATGCTGTCTTCAGACCGTAACATTGTCGTCAGACATACTGTACTGCAGGATGACCTATACTCGTCATTAAAGTTGCATGAAATCCACCAGCCTACCGCGAAAATTGTTTATTCTGAATTAATGAAATTACATGACCAAAATGACAATAACCTCCATAATGTATACATTGACGTGCACATAAAAGATCCCTTGGCAGTTGGAATTCGACATAAGAGTAGGCCATAGTGCAACATTTCCCTCATAGCACACTGTATGGCGTATGCCCGTCTTCATTATCTCAGTTGGAGCAGAACAGTAGGACGTTTAACCCCATTTCATTTTTGTATTGATGACTTACCAGTGTATGTGTAGCTCTGTGAACAGCTAATGTACGTGATTGACAAAACCCCTTCTGGCATATTTCACATTTAAATGGCTTCTCTTTAGAATGGATGTATCTAAAATATAGATAAAGAACTGGTTATATATACAATATATAGGTAAAGAATACAGGTGATACATGTATTACACAGCAGGGATTACAATCAACTGGATATTAGATTATAATTTCGCTCCTGGTTCCTGGTTTAAATACATTTATGTCAGTGGAAAATGGCATCAAAAACAAATCGCATTAAATAATGCAATATATCCTTCAACCCAGCGCTTTTTCATATTCCAACTATTCTCGTATTTATTCATTAGCCCAGTCGGAGCAGAACAGTAGGATGTTAAACCCCATTTCATTTCATTTCCTTACCTGTGATCTCGGAGATGGTCCTGTCTTCTGAAAGCCTTGCCGCATATCTCACAAGGGTAGGGTCGTTCATCAGTGTGAGTTCTTTCATGTATCAATAAATTGTACGATTTGGTGAATTGACGTTGACAATATTTACAAATAAACTCTTTCTTGGCTCTGAAAAAATAAAGACAACAAAATTCATTAGAAGTTTTCTTCTACAAATAAATTGTTTTTAAATTTTTGCAATGCTTGGATATTTTGACAGGAACCTTTCATACTTGTTTTGCATGTTAGTGCAATTTGGTTTAAACACAGATCCTATTTCGTTTCGTTTTTATAGTTCAAAATTTCGTTTTACTTGTCTTTACTACACTTGGATCCTCCGGTTTCCTCCCACTGCTAAAGACCCCTACGCGCAAGCGAATTGTTGAAATAGAATTGAACCATATGTTAGTCCCGAAATGACCTCGTTTGTGTCGAGTGGACGTTAAACCCCATTTCTCTTACTTACTGATACATGGAGTTAATAAGATACAATAAACTGAAAAAATTTCCCTGATTTTCCATTTTTAATTGCGTTTCCGTTTTAACATTTAAATTTCGACATAAATTTAGAGTTTTTGGCAAAATATCAACATTGGAGCAGTTTTTAGGAGTTGGTAACGTTTTAACAATTTTAGCCTAAAACTATTGTTACTAAATTCCATCGACCTGACTTCACAGGTTTAAGCTCCAAAATTGAAACGAAATATAGATTAAATTTAAAGAGGGCTGTCGGGGAGATGACTCATTCATACACTAAAAAGATAAATCATTGAATTTCATGCTCAACAGTCTTTATTTAGTTTCATTTTATTTTTTTGTTGCTGTACGTTTTCATTTTGGGATACAATTACAGCTTATTACTGAGCGCGGGGGGGGGGGGGGGGGTGGATGGCCGAATGGTTAGCACGTGCGTGCTGTATCATGCGGCCTGTCATTGAGTCAACTGGCGTGGTTTCGAATCCCCGGTTGTACGTGGCAAGGAGTAGGGTCGCCTGTCCAACCTCGTGGTTTTTCTCCGGGTCCTCCGGTTTCCTCCCATTGCTAAAGACCCCTACGCGCAAGCGAATTATGGCAATTAAATTGAACCATATGTTGGTCCCAAAATGACCTAGTTTGTGTCGAGTGGACGTTAAACCCCATTCTCTCTCTCTCTCTATTACTGAGCGACGTTTCGGCTAGTGTTATCTTGTCTTTATCAAGCAATGATGAAATATGAAAAATATAACAAAACATTATACACTTGTACACTATCCCCAAATATCATTGAATTAACCCCCTATGCATAATAATGTTTCGACGTTGTGGGGATTTTATGCTTGTAAAAATATCTCCCCCTCCTCCCCCATCTCTCTCTCTCTCTCCCCCATCTCTCTCTCTCCCTTTTAACCATGATTATTCTAAAACCAGTCTAAGAACGATTTCATTGATTTAACCCCCTATGCATAATAATGTCCGATCGTTGTGTGTGGATCTGTTAATTGATCCCCCCTCCCGCCCCCCACCCCTCCCTATCATCCATCTCTCTCCCTTTTAACCATTGGTCTTCTGAAACCAGTCGAAGCGCGATTTCATTGAATTATTTATGCAGTGTTCATAATATTATGGATATAAATTAGTAATAGACGATGATGTTATCTATAGTTGTCAAATATCCGTTAATACATTCGGTGAGTACAGCGTCAGGATGGCGAAACCGGAAGGGGTACACATATCTATTCAACGATCTAATTATACAGAAATATTCATTCATAGTAAATGTTAACATGAATATATATATATATATATGATATCATTCATAATTTATCTTAAGCGATGATTTTCTATTTTTATATCACTTTTACACCGAAAAATTAGCGGTTAGCCGTCGGTAGTGTGTTCACATGGAATTTCCTACTTTCTATTAGGGTTAGGGTGAGGGTCAGGTATTTAAGATTAAAATCTATAACATAAAAAATGGGAGTCACATCAAACATTAATATGAATGAATGCCTCGAAATCCTAAATCTGTTTTTTTTCCAAAGACCAAGAATTGTGCGACGTCGTAAGTTAGAATTTAAATTGAAGGATTCCAAATTTCAGGAAGGTAATTCCCAGTAAGTATCTAAGGCGACCCTACTCCTTGTCACGTACAATCGGGGATTCGAAACCACACCACTTGACTCAATGCCAGACCTTATGATTTCACGGGGAGAGAGAGAGAGAGAGAAAGAGAGAGAGAGAGAGAGAGAGAGAGAGAGAGGGGGGGGGGGGTAACGTCCACTCGACACAAACTAGGTCATTTCATGACTAACACATAGTTCAATTTTATTTCAAAAATTCGCTTGCGCGTAGGGATCTTAAGTAGTGGGAGGAACCCGGAGGTTGTGAGAAAACCCACGAGGTTGCACATGCGACCCTGCTCCTTGTCACGTACAATCGGGGAATCGAAACCAATAGTTGATACCATGTGAGACTAACATAGGGTTTAATTTTATTTCAATAATTCGCTTGCGCGTAGGAGTCTTTAGCAGTGGGAGGAAACCGGAGGACCCAGAGAAAACCAAACGAGGTTGCACAGGCGCCCCTGCTCCTTGTCACGTACAATCGGGGAATCGAAACCTGCAATAGACAGATTTTACTCTTATATATTACATCAATAAAAGAATCGAATATATTTATTTACCTTCTTGGTCTTTTTATTTTGAACTTGTCGCCCTCTACCGGTGAACTTTGGGTGATGGGTAGCCTCATTCCACTGAAAATGCTGCTGTACCTGATAAAGAAAATCGAAAAATTGTAAATATAGAAAATAAATAAATTTACAAATTTGTGTATTAATTAGTTTTTCATAAATGGCTAAATCTATTTTTTAAGGTCAGCTCATTTTTTGTCAAGGTCGCTGAGATGGAAATAAGGTTAGTGCATGTGATTGTTGGCGAGATGGTGGGTTACGTTTCAGAGGTTAAGTCTCCACATAAGCACTGACCTAAGATGATGAAAATTTGCTTCGTGATATTTCCTAGTTTTATTAAAAATACATGCAATACATTAGTTTTATATACATTAGTTGGTTTCGCTGTTTTGGGGGCTAGGTCAAGGGTTAGGGTTGGGAGGGATTAGCGCTAGCCCTGTTTACATCTCGTGATCTCTGAATAGCCAATCAACTCACCTGATATTGTTCTGATACAAGGTGAGGGTGTGGCTATACACCTGGGCATCTTGACTGACAGATTCCTTTCCAGGAATGGGCGTTTCTTCATCGTCACGTGTAGCGGATTCAGCCAATCGTGAGAAATCAAATTTTTTCTTTGGCTTGGGTTTCTCTTCAGGTGAGTCGGCTGAAATAAAATAAAATGATTTTGTTTAAATTTTGAAGTCATCAAAATTTACAGAAAACAAATATTACTGTCGATTAAAATATTTTTCTTGAGGTAATGTCAATTTCTAAAAATAAAATATATATGTACTAAGTGAATTAGGTCATATGGGTCAATTGTATTTCAATACCACAATCAATAAAACAATCACCGTCTGTGGGCCATTTTAAATCTCAACTCAAAACATTCTTATTTCAAAACACTGATCTGTAAATAATCAGTGAATATAAAAACCAACAGCGCCTTAGAAACTGTTTTCTTCAGTATTAACGCGCTTTATAAATGACGATATTATTATTATTATTATTATTCCCCCCCCCCACCATGAAATGGAACGGGGTTTAACGTTCTATTTGTCTACAACCAATGTGTACACGGGTCCCGGGTCGTCCTGCTTGTCGACCCAGAGCCACCGCGGTTCTCTAAAGTTTTAGAAACAATGTGTAAATAAGGAATACAAAAAACGCATCCCCAGGTTGAATAAAAAAAATAAAATATATTTTAATAAGAAGATTTTTTTTTTGTATGTTAGGGAAATAATTTTAAAATAAATTATTCATTAGTATAAAGACAATTGAAATAAGGAAGTTCAGACCCGCCATTTTGTTTACAGTTATCATATACAACGGAAGTTTTGCTAAATATATTTAAATATAAAATGCTTCCTCTACATCCCGAGCCTACTTCGGTATAGTTTCCCTAACTTACTGCTTTACGCACTTCTCGTTAAAATGTCCCTACTTAATTTTACGGGTAAAATTTGACTTCCTACTTCATTATCCGTTTTATACACACAAAGACTAAATGGGAATTAAAATGTCGACCAACTTGCTTCGTTTTTGTTCTCAAGTGGAGTTAATTGTATGCAGACAGCGTAAGTTTAGTATGGTACCTCTTTGCGATGCATCTGTTGTTTATATAATATATTTAATGGAGAGATAGATATGTTCAATTTTCTTTCAATAATTAGCTTGTACGACGGAGGAAACCGGAGTTCCTTGAGAAAACCCACGAGGTTGGACAGCAGGCGACCCTACTTCTTGTCACGCACAAACCGGGTTTCGTAACCACGCCACTTGACTCAAGGACAGACATTATGATTTCACGCACACCCGCCATAGTCACTCGGCCAACCACGGCAGATTCCGTTACTCCACATCTAGCCTCGGCTGTATGACAGTAAATGATGTACAATTGCGATGCGGCACCGCGGTTTACTTATTAGAAACACTTGCCGCTTTTAAAAAGAAGTTATCAAAATTGCGTCGTTCGAAGCGTGTGTAGAATTTTCAGTGGAAAGTTGTCCTTGTTTGAAGAAAATCGGATAAACTTGAAAACAAAATAGCTTCAGACTTTGAAATATTTGTATGATAAAACATTTTTCAAAGGCGTCGTCATCCGGGGTAATCCGGGAACTTGAAAGTAGTTCCAATGGCGGACTTTGTCATACAGCCGAGGCTAGATGCGGGGCATTGGAAGCTACTGAGGTTTGCCGAGTGCCGCCATAGTCTAATGGACTAACATCTGTGGTAGCATGTCATCCGACCAGTGCATCTGATGACAAATTGACGTTTGGTTTTTGTTATCGATATCTTTCCGCTGCAGCTTCCGTAATGTTATCAGTAACATAAAATGCATACTAAAAAAACACGTATATTTGTTTTATGTAATTTAATCATACATTATGCAAGAGCTAAATCTGCCTATTGCAGGTCTTTCTTTAGGCCTGAAATGTTATCTAAATTATTAATTAGACATTAATTAACTTATCCAGAGGATAATCAACCATCGTTAGCCTGCGATATTTAGCGGATTGGGGAACATTTTGTGAAGGATGACTAAACGTAAAAGTGGAATTCGAAATAAAAGTAGGCCGTAGTGCCGCAAAATTTCGCTCATAGCACATTGTATGGCATATGCCCGTCTTCATTAGCCCATTGTATGGCGCATGCCCGTCTTCATACCCTGATGGTGCAGAAAATTCGGACGTTAAACCCCATTTCATTTCATCTCCATATATTTTACTTTACATGCGGTTTGAGAGAATTGATTAAATTAAAGATACATTATGTAAGATTTAGATAAAGAACTGACCGTTCTTGCTATAATAGATCAAAAATAGATGATAATAAAAGAAAATATTGTTATATTGTTTGTAGTTTTGACAAGATGTGTGCACAGTGGTAACCAGGGCACTGGTATAATCGGGACTCAGCCTCGCTTTCCCATTTTTAAAATAAATTTTTAAATGGCGAACCGTTTTAATCTAGTTAAAATCTCGATTATGGTCTTGTTTTGTTGATAAATGTCTAATTAATAGTTTATTTAACATTCCAGGCCTAAAGAAGGACCCGCAATAGACAGATTTAGCTCTTGCATAATGTATGTTTAAATTAAAGTAGCTAGTAAATTATTCAGTATTTCATAGTTTGTGAAATCCAGGGCGTTACAGAAGCAACTCAAGAACAATAGATATGACTGTTCGTATAGTTTTCCCGCCGGAAATATAGAATCATAAAGCAAACGACCAACAACAAACAAGTCGCGTGCTTATCATCAGATGCCATCAAACAATGACAAATTATCTTTACGATAAACAAATTAATGGAGGAAAAGCCAAACGAATTAATATCCTTGTATTCACTCTTAAAGGCTCAATACCACTCTTGTTGTAACTGAATAATATGCCCCAATCTTTATTCTGGTCAACAAATTGCACTATTTTACAATATTCCAATTAATTAATGATACAAATTTCATCTTAACACACCTAATTTAAAAAAAATTGGAAAATTTCAACTAAATGATTTGAAAAGCCTGACGTAAAGCTTTTCAAATGTGACTTGGATTTAAAAATATTTTTGAACCCTCTGGATAAGTAAAATAGGATTATTTACACAACAGGTAGGACACATAAACATCTAATACTTAGAATAAGGCTATTTTTTATTTTCTGGAGCTGTCAAACCAGCAAGAGTGTTATTGTCCCTTTAAAATGTTGGTGCTGCTGCCTTGTCAAAGTTTACATAAATGGGGAAATGTCAAACGAATTAATATCCTCATTATATCTCTAAAATGTGGGAGTTTTTGACCGAATGGTTAACACGTGCGCGTTGGATCAAAAGGTCTGTCATTGACTCAAGTGATGTTGTTTGGAATCGCCACTTGTACGTGACAAGGAGTAGGGTCGGTCGTCTGCACAACCTCGTGGGTTTTCTCCGGTTTCCTCCTACTGCTAAAGACCCCTGTGCACAAGCGAATTAATGAAATATAATTCAACCATATGTTGGTCCCGAAATGAACTACTTTGTGTTGAGTGGACGTTAAACCCAAATCCCCCCCCTCTCTCTCTCTCTCTCTCTCTCTCTCTCTCTCTCTCTGTGATCTATGAGCGCGAGAAAGATGAATCAAGCTAGTTTCGTTGTCTTGTCATGACACGCATTCTTTACCGCGATGAGGGCCCAGCGCCACCCTGTCCGTCCCTGATTCGCCCCTATAAACAGTTTGAGCGACCATTTCAAAACCGCTTAAAGTAAAAAGTACACGACTGTACATTCTGGTATTTCATTTGCATGGTTAAACGAACTTTTTTTTCTCTTGTGACCCGGTGAAAAAAACCGTTTGAGACCCGTTGAAAAATAAAACGTTTGAAATCCGGTGAAAAAAAAAGTTTGAGACCCGGTGTAAAAGTTTGCGGCTCCGGGCCCTGTTTCTCGAAATCTTACTTTAAGATAAAATCCAAATTTTAGTAGATACTTCAATTTTGATTGGCTAAGCACTAAAATCAATTTAATATTATCCAATCAAATTACTAAAATTTCGATTTTATCTTAGTTAAGATTTCGTGAAACAGGGCCCTGGCCTCTAGTATATCACATCCTCAATCTGAATGCATGTGGATCACGTGCCTGTTGTGACGGATGATAAGTAGCTGTCATATGATCAGTAAAATAAAAAATACTATTTAAACTATTTGAAGAACGGAAAGAAGCGGTTCAAAGTCTTCAGTTTTACAGATTGCTGTAAGCTATATATCCTGTTTTCGGTAATAACTCCTCTTAAATATAATAATTATATCGTCATATTGCAGAATCTTAAGAGAGAGATAGAGAGAGAGAGGGGGGGGGGGGTAACGTCCACTCGACACAAACTAGGTCATTTTATTTCAATAATTCGCTTGCGACCCTGGTCCTTGTCACGTACAACCGGGGAATCGAAACCACGCCATTTGACTCAATGACAGACCTTATTATACAGCGCACACGTGCTACCCATTCGGTCATTCAACCCCTCTACCCCGGCACCATTTGGGCTAATGTTGTCTGCACAGATAACTATCTACCTCGAGAATAGATCTCTGCACTGAATGGCCGCCATATCCAAAACTTTGTATACTACATTGTATTCTGTAATGCGGTCCTATCCCGGTTTCTATACACACAGCGACTAAACAGAAGCGTTTAAATAGAAGCGGTAAAAATACTTCTCTAAATTCTGAAAGTATACCTAATCTTTTCGTCTAAAATCGTCGATTTAGGACTCAAAATGTCGGTGAACTAGCTTAGTGTCTGTGCTCAAGTTTAGTATGCTAGTTTAAAGCCGCAATGTGTCGATTAAAATAAACGATTTCATTTGTCCTTTAGGTCAAACCAATTTCATTTTTAGTTGCTCGGGATCACTATCAACAAATAATTCACTCATTTTTTGTATTCGATGGTTTGTTAAAATTTCAAAATTAACAAAATTGAAACGAAAAACTTTTAAAAAGGGCAACTTTTCGCCCAAATAAATCAGTAATTGTTCTTCCGTAAGTATGTGTTATAATTTATTCCTCCATTCAGTTAATATTAAAATTGTGTAATTTTGGTTTTTAAATTAGCTTTATTCCTGAACAAATTGGAGGCATAAATTTTAATGGGGTGTTCCCGGAGAACAAAAAATTAAATTGATATGGCCTGACTACTATCATTTCTTGTATTAATTTTAATACTTACGTTCACTGTCGACTCTGTCTCTTCCTAGGTCGTAGCTGGGACTCCATGGCTTCATAGAAGTAAACGCTGAACGATGTGACGGCGGCGACCAAGAGGACGGTGACGATGAACAACTACTACTGTCTGGATAATCGCACATAGATGCATAACCCAAACTGTTTAGACCGTACTGGTTGAACGAGAAATAAGTTGACATGGCGGCTATTCTGTTTAGTGGTGTAAGGGGTGAATACAACCCTAGGCTCCCGGGTGATGATATGTACGGCAAGGGCGGAAGTGACGTGTATAGAGGCTCTGGATAAATCGTTTTCGATGACATCTTGGTAGTTTCTGTGATATTTGAAAATACTAATGGAAGAAGAATCTGAAAAGAAAAACAATTCACATGAAATCAAATGGGATTCAATGCTTCATTCATCGGCACCATGTAAAAGATCGTTTATTTTTTGGTGAATGGCGCCCAAAGTATTCCAATGTACATGTAAATATTGTCTTGTTATATTTTTCATATTTTATCATTGCTAGAGAAGCCTAGACGAAACGTTACCCAGTTATAAGCAGTAAGGGGGGGGGGGGTGGATGGCTGAATGATTAGCATGCGCGCTGTATCATAAAGTCTGTCATTGAGTCGACTGGTGTGATTTTAAATCCCCGGTTGTACGTTACAAGGAATAGGGTCGCCTGTCCAACATCGTGGGTTTTCTCCTCCGGTTTCCTCCCACTGCTAAAGACCCCTATGAGCAAGCGAATTATTGAAATAAAATTAAACCATATGTTAGTCCCGAAATGACCTAGTTTGTGTCGAGTGGACGTTAAACCCCAGTTCTCTCTCTCTCTCTCTCTCTCTCTCTCTCTCTCTCTATAAGCAGTTATTATATTCCACAGAATGGTCACCTGTATAGGGGAATATATTATAGATATTCATACCCTACACATTATACCCAAAAATTTGAAAATTTTCATTAAACAATTGACAAAATCATGGGATAAACAACATGAACAGGAAAAAGAATTAATCTCCTCATTTTCAAAACCCATGTTTGGTTCCAGAGATGGCCGAGAAAAACTTCCCTTATAGCGAGAGAGAGAGAGAGAGAGAGAGAGAGAGAGAGATGGGGTTTAACGTCCACTCGACACAAACTAGGTCATTTCGGGACTAACATTTTGTTTAATTTTATTTCAATAATTCGCTTGCGCGTAGGGGGTCTTTAGCCGTGAGAGGAAACCGGACGACCCGGAGAAAACCCACGACCCTACTCCTTGTCACGTACAATCGGGGATTCGAAACCACGCCAGTTGACTCAATGACAGGCTTTATGATACAGCGCGCACGTGCTAACCATTCAGCCATCCACCCCCCCTTCCCTTATAGCACACTGCATGGCTTATGTCCGTTCAAACCCCATTTTATTTCATATAATTTAACTATAATTCTAAACTGTAAAAATATTTCTATATTTTCTTTAAAATACTAGATCCGGACAAATAGAGAAATGGGGGTTAAAGTCCACTTGACACAAACTAAATCATTTCGGGACTAACATATGGTTCAATAATTCCCTTGCGCGTGGGGGGGGGGGTCTTTAGCGGTGGGGGGAAACCGGAGGACTCGGAAAACCCCACGATAAAGTTGTATACTTATCCGTTTTAAGAAATAAATCAAAAACAAACAAAAAATCAAACACAAAAAAAATCTTGCTTGGATAATAATATTAGTTTAATTCAAAGATCTGAATTACTTTATGAAAAGACAAAGCGTTTTGAACGTCAGTGACCATTTTAAAAAACTATTCTATGCAAAGCGATACGTTTACGATGACAATAAAATATGTGAACTTAAGCATGCATTAATTAAAAACATAAGTATGCCCTTTCTTTTAATAAATACTAAAAAAATATGTCGTTTTTAGCCAACGAAGCATCAGTGGAAATAATGAGCGAAATAAGAAATTATTTTTAAAAACATGAAATTATCAAAGTCATCAAACTAATTCAACAGGCCTACAAGTACATGTAAAGGCTGTTGGGTATTTTGTTATAAGTTAAATAGCGTCTCTTTTCTTTTAGTAAATGTTAAATATTGTCGCTTATTGCCAGTAAAGCACCAGTTATACAAATCAATCGTAAGCATTGGGCGCACTTTTAGAAAAAAACGCAAAAAAAACCCAATTGAACAGCTCGTATCAGTTAAATTATTTCCATTTTTATAGTAAAAAAATACTAAAATATTTGTCGCTTTTTACCAGCGTGGAATCGTCAAATCAGTCGCTATCATTAAGCACTTTTTTTAAAAAATAAATACTAAACATTTTGTCGCTTTTTGCCAGTGAACCGTCAGTGATTAAGCAGACATTAAAAAAAAAAACCAACAATTGAACAGCTAAATAATGTTCCTTTCTGAAAGTAAATACTAAAATATAATCTCAATCATTAAGCACGCTTTTAGAAAGCAAAGGGCCAATTGAACAGCTCGTATGAACAGCCCTTTATTTTTTAGTAAACACAGAAAAAAATTGTCGCTTTTTGCCAGTGAAGCACCAGTTGAACAAACAATTGCAGTCATTAAACACATTTTTAGAAAAAAAATAACAAAACCAATTGAACAGCTCTTATTAGTAAAATTAGTAAATACTAAAACTTTGGTAGCTTTTTGCCAATGAAGCACCAGTTCAACAATCAATTGCAGTCATTAAGCACATTTTTAGAAAAAGAAACAAAAAAGCAATCAAACAGCGCGCACGGTGTCCCTTCTTTTTTGTTTAGTAAATACTAAAAATTTTGTCGCTTTTTGCCAATGAAACATCAGTTAAACAATCAATTGCAATTATTAAGTATACTTTTAGAAAAAAAAGAAAAAAAAGATGACCATCTCATATTATTTAGCAAAAATATAGCGGCTTACCGTTAGAGTGACAAAGAATCCGTTTGAATAATACAGTGTCGTAATCGCACTACTTATATGTGTTCACTGTCAGCCAGTGGGGCGTGCACGTCACGTGACAACGTCATAAGTAATGTATACACAATAATCACCAGTGAATATCTACCAGTAAAACCAACGAGGAAGGATTTTAATTTACAGTGTATCTTATGTCAGTCGTTTTCATAGAAAACTATGACTCGGACTGCAGACTCTCGTTAATGTTCAATTCTGTAGAAGAATAGTTTAGCTTATTACATTTCAATTTATTAATTAATTCATCAGAATATTACGGGATTTTAGTTTTAAACGGGTCTATTCACGCATTCTTTAGATTTGCAGAGAGTTGTAGTTTTAACCTATAATTTAACCAAGTCGTTAGAATTTAATTTTCTTTAAGAAATTTTCAAATTCTCAACATAGATTTCATGGTGCCGAACATATATTTCACACTAAATACGAAATATGTTAACACTTGAAATATAGTTCATAGAAACAGTACATGGTTTAATATCTTCATTCATTCATTCATTCATTCATTCCATCCGATCATTCATTCATCCATTCTTTCATTTGTGATTTCACTCATTCATTCCATCCATCCATTCATTCCCCATTCACTAATTTGTGATTTCATTCATTCATTTGTGATTTCATTCATTCATTCATTCATTTGTGATTTCATTCATTCATTCATTCCCCCATTCACTCATTTGTGATTTCATTCATTCATCCATCCATCCATCCTTCCATCCATCCACCCATTCATTCATTCATTTGTAATTACATTAGACGTTAAAAGGCAATCACACCACCCACTGTTCTTCAATTATTAAAACTCAGTGTTAATTCTCGAACAATAGAGACACTCTTAATCTCTCACACTCTGTAAACGTGCCCCACTTAAAGTTTTTAAACTTGGTTTGTATTTGAAACATTGATGTTTTCCAGGTTCTATATTGAAAAATAAACAACATAATCAAAATGTTTACGAGTGAACACGTGGTGATAGATAAAGACAGGTTTTTTTTTAAGAATATGGCTGTAAAAACACCAAGAAACAAAAGAAAGGAAATGAAATGAAATGAAATGGGGTTTAACGTCCTACTGTTCTGCTCCGAACAGGGCTAATGAAGACGGGCATACGCCATACAGTGTGCTATGAGGGAAATTTTGTCTGGACAGCGGCACTACGGTCTACTCTTATATCGAATTCCAACTGTCAAGGGATCTTTTACGTGCACGCCAATGTGTACACGGGGCCTCGGTTTTTCGTCCCATCTTCCACCTCGCTTCCACCAAGGGTGAGATCGCAGGCTAGTTAAAGAGATCGCTTTCCGTCTCAAAATTGTGTAGAAAAATTTGAGTTGTCCACAATAATTGCACAAATTGCTATATTCCATGGAGAGGTGGTGCCACTTTAGCATGTATATTTGGGTCATAGAAATAGTTAAACTGCTGGAAGTTAAACTCCCCTTCCATCAAGGGTGACATCGCATCGCTTTCCGTCTTAAAATTGTTTAGAAAAAACGATTGCCATATCCCTTAGAGAGATTGGACCACTTTTGGGAATTATAACTATTAAAGTCCGCTTCCATCTAAGTGGATATCGCAGACTAGTTAAGGAGTCGGCATGATGTAAGAAACCATTCATTAATTAGCTAGCTGTATTAGATCGTAGTTGATTCTGTTTGTTGATTATTGTTTGACACCTGCAGTAATTAGCTTATTTAGTTATATACTATGGTATAAGTAAATTACCTAGATATATCCTAGTTTTCTATTGTTTTACTAGTCTCTAAAAACAGGTGCGTGAAAAGGGAAACACTACCAAAGACTTTGTGTACAATTAAAATCCAATATCATCTAATTTCTCGGATCAAATTATTCTACCCCTATCTTTCATTTTGAAGACAGCATCATGCAGTAAAGCGGAGTTCAAAAGTATTAATTGATGTCAAATCGCAAAATTTATAATTTTGATACAAATGAATGCAATCCTTGAGTGGCATTTAGTGATTGGGCATATTAAAAAACACAACACAATTTATATGGAAAGGATAACGATAAGAGAATACTTGTCGAAACGTCGTGGTATATGTGTATAAACCAGTGATTGTATTCCATATAAATTGTGTTGTGTGTTTTTTTTTTTACAAATGAATGCGTTCTAACTATAAACCCAAAGTGTTACTATCAAATTTCAATTAAAGAATGTTTTGAGACCGCGGTTAAGAGATTAGAGAGAGAGAGAGAGAGAGAGAGAGAGAGATGGGGTTTAACGTCCACTCGACACAAACTAGGTCATTTCGGGACTAACATATGGTTTAATTTTATTTCAATGATTCGCTTGCGCGTAGGGTCTTTAGCAGTGGGAGGAAACCGGAGGACCCGGAGAAAACCCACGAGGTTGGACAGGCGACCCTAATCCTTGTCACGTACAACCGGGGATTCGAAACCACGCCAGTTGACTCAATGGCAGGCCTTAAGATACAGCACGCACGTGCTAACCATTCAGCCATCCAACTCGCCGGTTAAGAGATTAACGTTTTATTTGGGTTAAATAATCAACAAGACAGTTTATGTTTAACCTAATCTCCTGGCGACGTTCATCTTTGATTTCAAGATTGATTTTCACAGTTTTTTTTAACGACCCTCTTTCACAACTCTTTTAACATCTATAGATTGTTGATCATGTGATCTACGACATCTAATAAAGCCGACTGATAAAATACATAAAAAAAGATTGTAAATAATTTCACTGTGTACATGTTTATATATTATGTTATTGTCTGCGATATCACCTCTGTGGAAGCGGACGTAAGATACAACTAACTCACACATACATAACAAACTTATTTGTTATTTACATGAATTATTATAGCAAGAACGGACAGTTCTTTATCGAACTCTTAACCATTGTAAATGAAATGAAATGAAATGGGGTTTAACGTCCCACTGTTCTGCTCCTAAACTGGGCTAATGAAGACGGGCATACGCCATACAGTGTGCTATGAGGGAAATTTTGGCCGGGCAGCGGCTCTACTCTTATATCGAATTCCAACTGCCAAGGGATCTTTTACGTGCACGCCAATTTGTACACGGGACTTCGGTTTTTCGTCCCATCCGAACGACTAGACAGCTGTCCTTGTCAGGCCCTCCGTCCTGCATCACTGACAAGGGGAAACCACGCCGGAAAATCTGGACTTAACCAATGTATCTTTGAATTAAATCAAATCAAATGATGACTAAGCGTTCTATTTTCTTCATGAACGAATTGTTTTTAATATGAAACGTTATATTTTCTACACCGCCTGGGCTAATGAAGACGGGCATACGCCATACTGAGCTATGAGAGAAGTTCTGCCCGGACAGCGGCGCCACAATCTTCTCTTATTTTGCATACAAAATTCTTTTACGTGAACACGGGACCTAGGTTTTTCGTCCCAACCAAACGACTAGTTTTCCCTCGTGTATAGAGTGTAATGACTTTGAGGAATGTAAATAATTTAAGACTGATGCAGGGTGGTTACTTTGAACCGGGTAAATTCTTGGCCAAGCCAATGGTACCCCGCGTGCTGGAAATTGTATCAAAGGTTGAACTAGGAAATTAAGTTTGAGTTTATTCTGGGCAGTGAATGTGTTAACATTGTATAATTGCAGAAAGTTTGTGTTCAAAATGCTCGCATTTATCTATTAATGAAAGAATTTACAATTGATGTAAAATCGCAAAACTTTCATGTCGCAAAATGTATACATGTAATTTTGATTCTACCCATAAATCCAAACCGTTGCCTATCAAATTTGCCCTGTTACGCAAATCCCTGATAGTAAAGTGTTTAAGTCACTCCAGGGGTGTAAACACGTGTACATCAGCTACTAACTAGACACTAATAGCTAATTTTAACTAGCAATCCACAGAGAATGTATTCTATTAGAAATGAAATGAAATGGAGTTTAACGTCCTACTTTTCTGCTCCTAACCTGGGCTAATGAAGACGGGCATGCGCCATACAGTGTGCTATGAGGGAAATTTTGCCCGGACAGCGGCACTACGGCCTACTCTTATATCGAATTCCAACTGCCAAGGGATCTTTTACCTGCACGCCAATGTGTACACGGGACCTCGGTTTTTCGTCCCATCCGAACGACTAGACAGCTTTCCTTGTCAGCCCCTCCGTCCTGCATCACTGACAAGGGAGAACCACGCCGGAAAATCTGGATGAACTTTCTCGGCCAATGCAGGGATCGAACATCCGACCTCCAGGCTAGCGAGCCAGCGTCTTACCCACTTAGCCACGTGATCCCGTATTCTATTAGAACCGTGAGATTCTTACAAGCCTTGTTCGTGACAAGTATAGTCGGGTTCGTCTGTCTAATCTCGGGGGTTTGCTCCTAATGCTAAAGACTTTACGCACAAGCGAATTATTGAAATAAAATTGTATCATATGTTAGTCCCGAAATTACTTGGTTGGAGTCGAGTTGACGTCAAACCTCATTTCTCTCTCACTGCTAAAGACAAAGACCTCTTTATTAGTCCCGAAATGACCTAATCTGTGCCGAGTGGACTTTAAATCCCACTTCTCTCTCCCTGACATAATTTAATCAAGTAAATAATATTTAAGCGTATAGAAGAGACATTTTTTTTTTACACAATAAATGACGTTTCTATACAAAACATTTTGCCGTCTTCGTTAGCCCAGTCAAAGCAGGGTATAGTCCTTCGAATGGTCCCGTTTACACATTGGTGTGCACGTAAAAGATCCCTTGACTGTTGGAATTTGAAATAAGGTAGGCCGTAGCGCCGCTGAGGGGCAGAACAATAGGACGTTAAACCCCATTACATTTCAATACATTTTATGATTCTCAAGTTGTTGCGAAGATCATAACTAAGGCAAAGAAAATGTGTTTATTACATCGACATCTTTTACGAGTTATTTTAGTGATCTAACGATTTAATACGAGCGCGTGCTGTCTAAACAATATAAATGGTCTTTTATAATGGAGTGTCGATGGCGCTCGCGACGTGTCTAGTTGATAATAACACGTGTCAAAGGTCAAAGTATATAAACAATCCCG